GGAAAGGCTAAGTTAAGAGGATGACAAGAAAGATTCTTAGTTTGAATACCAATGTGGAAAAGAGAGGAAGTGTTGGTACAGAAACCCACGACACACAGCTGGATGAGAGAGTGGCTACAGGAACTCACTGCTAGGCCATAGAGTAGGTTCATATAGTTGTTTTTTAATGACTATAGCCTAAATCTAGTATCCAAGGTTAAAGAAAGTCTAGGGTTCAAATCTGCCAGGGAAAAACTTGGCATTTTATTTATTTAGGGTTGTTTTTCTTAAAAAAAGCACTTTCTGGCAAAAGTACTCACTCTCAGTCATAGGAAAACAAATATTGGAACACCAAGGGTGTTGAAGGTCAGAATTAATGTGCTTTTATTAATTAGTTCATCTGAGGAAGTTCGCTCTGCTTGCACCTTTACCGCACCTGCATATAATCAGCTTGCCTTTAATGAAGTGCTCACATGCCTCAATTTACTAAAAACGATTAAAACAATAACAATAATGCAGAAATAGTAAGGACACGTAAAATATGTGCTTTTACGGCATATTGATTTTGGCTGCATGTCTCTCTCCCTGGATCGGTAATTAATTGCACCTCTGGATCCTACCGCATTTTCCTCCGGCCGTTTTGGGGAAGACAAATGAAATAGGAAGGGAACAACATGCGTGACAATCATGCGTGTCCTTGAGCAGCAATGATTAGGAAGAAAGTGCGCAGGGTTCTCATCTGCAAGATATTCAGCATCAGTCATCGCGTTTCCCGTGAGGACAAATAAAAGGGAATTGCATCCAAGCGCACAGTACGCTGGGTCCCCAGTGGTTTGCTACAAAGATCTCCCCAAAGGCAGTCGCCGGTTCCTGGGCAGGGTCACCAGGAAAGGCCCAGCTGAAAAGGCTGGTGTGATTGGCATCTAGCTGCTGCAATCATCAAACCTTCCCCCAAATGATCGTGGACCTGTTCCCACTAATAGGAAAAAGAAACAGTGAGGAGGACAGAGAGGGTCGCCTTTGGAATGCCAATCTGAGAGGTACCTTTCGTCTTCTGTTTTTACCGCCTTTCCTTTGGCTGACTAGCCTTGCACGGACAGGACTAACATCTTTATGTAAATCCAGTGCGCTGACTCTGAAATCCTGAACAAAACAAGTGTCTTTTTCTCTCTCTGAAGATGCAGTGATCTATCTGCCCTTCCGTTTGCATCTAGGAGGGATGGCTCTGTGGGCTATTTCTGTTTTGGATGAAGAAAGTGCTGTTAGCTCCATGTAACCAGGAGAATATCTCACCCTGTGATTCCTGGTTTTCTAGTGAGAGGATCACAACATTATTGTTGGATTTGCTGCTGCTCTGCACCCTCTGCTAGGACCTATGACCCATGAATGGAATTTCCATTGATACTGAGTAATTCTCCCAATAATCACCAAGTTATTCAGATCAGTAGAGATAGAGTAAACTTATGTTAATCTTCAATTGAGAACACATATAATAATAAAAGCGTAATATGCTAATTAGATCAGACATCCTTCCTTCCTGACAAAGCCGCAGCGGACAGGGCTGTGGCATAGACAGGCAGGGGCCAGGGCCAAGGCCTTGCACACATTTTGTGCATCGGGTCTCTAGCAATGTTATAAAAAAGAATCATGTAACTTAACAATCCATTTAAAAATATGTGTGTTTCTACACTCACAGATGCCTTGGTAATAATCTCTATTTTGAATTTTTGAGGTGACTTAATATTCTATAGTCACAGATTTAAAATTTGAAAGTTAAAGGTGTTGGTCAGTTAGTACAACCCTCAGTTTACTACATGGGCATGATGACACACACAGAAGTGTAGTTTGTCCAGTGTCTCAGTGCCAGGTAGATCAATTTAACAATTTCAGTAACAACATTAAATAGCACATTTTAATATAAATATTGCATATTATTCATTTCCCAGATATAACATTTAGGCAAACATATTTGGTATAAGTCACAGAAAATGAGGTAATAGAACGTTGGTTTTCGAAACTGCAGAAGACTTAGAAAAGCTCCTGTCCCACCACTGGCACTTACTTAATATTCATTAAAGGAGTAATAGGTTAACAGATAATATTTAATGAATGCGAACTAATCTGTGCGGCAGACACTGTGCAAAGTTTATTAGGTGGGCTATCTCCTGTAATCCTTCCCCTCCTAATAGGTATCAATACAGTAAGTAGTATTATTATCCCAATTTTAAAGAATCTTACCATTTGTGACAACATGGATGAACCTAGAGCAGTGGTCGGCAAACTCATTAGTCAACAGAGCCAAATATCAACAGTACAATGACTGAAATTTCTTTTGAGAGCCAAATTTTTTAAACTTAAACTATATAGGTAGGTACATTGTTATTAACTTAATTAGGGTAGTCCTAAGGCTTAGGAAGAGCCACACTCAAGGGGCCAAAGAGCCGCATGTGGCTCTCGAGACTCAGTTTGCCGACCACAGACCTAGAGGGTATTATGCTAAGGGAAATAAGTCAGATAGAGAAAGACAAATACCATAGGATTCCACTTATATGTGGCATCCCAAAACACAAAATAAATGAACAAACTCAGATATACAAATGGAGGTTTGCCAGATGGCAAGGGGCCAGGGGGCTGGGTGAAGAAGGCGAAGGGCGTAGTTAAGAAGCACAAATGCGCAGCTACAAAACAGTCCCGGGGATGCAAATATAGTCAACAATATTGTAATCACAGTAATATGGTAACACATGCAATAGATGTGTGGTCAGGTGGGTACTAGATTCATCAGTGGGATTACTTTGTAAGTTATATAATCCCTATTCTGCACACCTGAAACTAATATAATATTGAATGTCAACGGTAACTGAAAACAAACCATTTTTTAAGTATATAAAACAACACGCCCAATAACTTGATGTAAAGTTAAAGAGAGCTTTAAAAGTAAGGCAAAGCTACCACTATAAGGGCCCAGTGATGCCCCCAGACATGCCCGAATGCAGAAGAATTCCTCCTCCAGGAATCACCAAAGCTCCAGGGAGCAGTGCAAGCCAAAACTGTGATCTCCCTGCCTTGTCCTTCAAATGGCGTGTGCTCCAAACACATTTCTGTGCAGTTGGAGGCGTTGTTACAGACAGAAGGACCCTGCGTCGCAAGGCCTAACTTTTTTAAAGCAGCATTTGGAAGACTTCCCAGACACCACATCTGCCCGAGCCCGTGCACCTCGGAGGAGAAGGCCGGCTCCGGAGACAGCGCAGACGACTAAATGTATTAACGGCGGACGGGCCACTCCATCTTTCCTGCTGCAACAGTAGGTGATCCCATCAAAAATCTGTCTGCTGGCCGGCCGGCCATCCACGCTACGGGCTCACAGAGCACACCCAGGTGAGGGGAGCGCATGCTGCTCCGAATGTGGGGCCAGGGAGGGAGTTTCCGTTTCCATTCGAGAAAAAGTCTCCATTTTTACCCACAGATTCTTTTCCTTCCTTCCTTTGACTGTTATAAATACTAAGCAGAAGGGTCGCATTTTAGGGGGGTGAGTGGTTGACTTTCTAGCTCTCGGTGACGGTGCCCATGCACCAGGCCAGGTAAGTGCTCATTAATCCCAACACAGCCCAGCTGGAGGGCAATCATGATTCATTACACTCGCGCCTCCACAGCCAGCCTCACTCAGAGCACACTGTTTACTATGTTAGGATGTTAGGTGAGGAGAAAACAGTAATGCTCCAGCTACTGTTCCTAACGCAAATTCCATTTCACTGTCCCCAACCTATGAAACATTTATTTGTGTGTGTGTGTGTTTAATTGCATTTATTGGGGTGACACCGGTTATGAAATTATACAGGTTTCAGGTGCACAACTCAACAACTCACCATCTGTACACTGCACCGTGTGCTCACCACTCCATCACCATTTATCTCCCCCGTACCCTCCTCCACAGCCTCCCCTCCCCCTCCCCCTGGCAATCACTGCACTGTTGTCTGTGAACATGAGTTTTCTCTCTTTTTTCTCAATCTCTCCTCCACCCCACCACCACCCAGCTATTTGTTCCAAAATGACAAAAGCCTTTTTGAGTTTTACAGAAAAATACACACACACACACACACACACACACAGGCACACACATATATATTAATACTTTTGTAAATTGGGGAAAGTTATGTAGGAAGCCTAAAGAGTTACAGTTTTCTACCATCTATAGGGAAATGGTGCTCTGAAGTACTATACATCCTAGAGGTAACAACTTCCAGAATATTCTAGTAAGACCAGGAGCTGGGTGAGGCACATGAGTAGGGTTGGATGCTGTCCCTACTTAAATGCTTGGTATTGTGTTGGAGAAGTCTTCTCATTGATTCTCATTTCAAAACCACCACCACAACATCATAATAAAATGCGTTTATATTGATCACTGGGGTGTTCCGGCGCCTTTACATTCTGTGCCAGCAGCAGATGCCTTCCTCCATCGCAGGCCTATAGAAGGCATGTTTTCCCTGGAATACTGTTTCCTGTAATGCTTTCCACAGAACTTGGCGTATTAACAGTGGTTATACTTTCTAGAGAAGTTACATTGTGTAAGTGTTAGGAATACACACCCGAACAAAGTTAAAGAGCTTTCTTACATTCCTTTTAGAGCTTTAATAACCTGATGTGCCCCAGACCCTCCAAAGAGGGAGGAGGGCATTCCCCACTCATTTGCCCACAGAACTCTTCCCAGAGCCAGTGACTAATGTTCTGGAAAAAAAGTTCTAGAAACTTTGTCCAAGAGCCACGTTCATCACATACTTTGACCCAGGAAGACAGCTTTTCCCTATCTACTTTTTTCTTTCCTTTCTTCCACTTTCCCACCTTTCTCCAGAATCCCAAAAAGAAAGAGACATGTGGACACAATCAAGCCGAAGTTATCAAGGACTGAACTGGTGTTTCTATAAATAGGCATCGTACAAATTCATTGTAAAGGGATATCAAAATAACAGAAAAGCTTTTGGGTCTGCGTGCCTCTTCAATAAAGGGCCGTCAGACACACTCACCGGTGAAGTCTGTGTTGACGGGGTGAGTGGAGCTGGGAAATGTATAATATCCGTGTCCGGGGAAGCGAACTCCTTTCTCCGCCCTGGCCCCCGGGGCTGGGAGGGACGGCTCCCTCCTTTCCAGCTGATAGACGGGAGACGGGCCGTTCAGTTCTGCGGGCGGGAGCCAGCGAGCGCGGACGGCTGTGCCGCTGACCCCTTCGACCAGAGGCGGCCTCAGCTGGGCTGGCGCTAAACGTTAGAAAACACTTGTTACCTTCGAGACTTGGCTCCTGTCTCCCGACACAGATCCTCACACGTATGGACCCGTGCAACCGTGGGCATCACACTCGAAATCAAATTCTCAAGGATGTGTGTGGTTCTGGGAACCAAAACCACAAGATGGACTTTATCCACAACGTGACTAAACAGTTTGAGTGGCTAAGAGAAGATGGTGGTGGCCGGGAGGGCGCTGCCCTCCTGTGAGCAGAATGAGAGACACGTGTGTAAAAGCAGCAATTACCCCTGAGAGACACCGAGCGTTGAATGGACAGCTTCTGACATAAACAAGAGAAAGAGAGGAAATGCGGACCCTGAGACACCAGAAGAACCCGGGGCAGACAAGCAGAGGGGCATGGCTGTCTAGGTCCCCCCACCTTGGTGGCCACTGGGGGTCCAATGGGGGGCTCTGACCTACCTGCCAGGCCATGCAGCCTGTTCCTTACAGCAACGTTGCCTGGAGCCTTCTGCCTCTGAACAAAGGCAGTGGGGAGCAGGAATCACAGGGCTGGGCACCCACATCTGGCCTCCCGGCCTCCAGCGTCCCCTCCCTGCAGGCTGGTGCCCCAGGCACTGTGGGCACCTACCCAGCCCCAAGCAGTTTCCCCAAACTACCCGGCACCTGGAACCTGCACACACAGGTCCCTTCTACAAGAGACCACCTTTGGTACAACAAGCAAGAGAGAGACTGCATAGAGAAGACTGGGCAGCCCAGAGAACGCTCTAAGAGCTGCGGAATTACCGAGGTCAGAGCTCAGAGAGCCTCCTTAAGGGCCACCTCCAAAGGGTGGGCAGGGCCTCTATCTAGATGCTCCTGGCTGCCTACAAGGTCTCCTGAAGCCCATCCACCAATCAGAGGCAGCCATCAGGATCCACTCTCACACCTACAGGCACCTGGCGCCTCCACCCAGCGCTGCTCCAGCTGGTAGGCCTGAGCCACCATCTCCTCCCTCCCACCAGCCTCCAATTCCACCTGGCACACAGGCTACAGAGGGCCAGCTTCCATATGGGCTCCTTTCGTGAGGCTGGAAGAGACAGCTCTCTTGTCTAATTTATGTAAGCAAACACAGAAAGTCAAACAAAACGAAAACACAGGAAAAATATCTCTCAAATGAAGGAACAAGAAAAGGCCCCAGAAAAAAGGAAACCCTAAGGAAATGGGTGTAAGTCACTTGCTTAATAAAGAATTCAAAGAAACGGTCATAAGGGTGCTCATCCAACCTGAGAGGAACTTAGGGAGAAGGTCAACAAAGAAAAGTGTAAAAAGAACTAAGCAGACCTGAAGAATACAATTGAAATAACACACACACACACACACACACACACACAAACACACTCTAGAGGCAATTAACAGCAGACTAGCTAACACAGAAAACCAGATCAGAGATGTCAGAGAGAGACTAGTGGTAACTGGCCAAACAGAACAGCAGAAAGAAAAAATAAAAAAAAAATACCCACAAAGATACTTTGCGGGACCTCTAGGATAGCATCAAATGCTCAAACACTGGCATTATAGGGATTTCCCAAAAGGAGAAGAAAAAGAGAAAGGAATGGAAACTGTATTTAAAGAAATATGGCTGATAAGTTTCCTCACCTGGGAAAGGAAACAGATCTAGTTCCAAACTAGATGAACCCAAAGAAACACACACAAGACATATTGTAATGAAAACGGCAAAAGCTGAAGACAGACCATCTCGAAGGAAGCAAGAGAAAAAAAATTACATACAAAGGAAACCCTATAAAACTGTCATCTGATTCTTCAGCAGCAACTTTACAGGCCGGAGGGGCAGGACATCTAGAAAGTGCTGAAAAAAGGGACCCTACAACCTAAAACAATTTACCCAGCGAGGTTATCATTCAGAAGTGACGGGGAGAGAGAGTTCCCTGGACAAACAAAAACCAAAGGACTTCATCAACACTAAACCAGTTTGACAAGAAATGTTACAGGCGTTTCTTTCCAAATATACAATAGATGCAGCATATCAGACATTTCAAAAGCTACTATGAAGGTTAAAAGAAAAAGAGGATCAAAATCAGCTCAAACTGCAATAAGTAGTTAGGAGACAAACAACACAAGTCAATGTAAAACATCATATCAAAAACATAAAATGTGCCACTGGCTGATGTCGCTCAGTTGGTTGGGTACCTGGGGTTACATGTTGTTAGGGAGCATGCAGAAGGCAGCCAATCAATGTTGCCCTCTCACACGGATCTCTCTCTCTCTCTCTCTCTCTCTCCCTCCCTTCCTCTCTCTAAAAAAATAAAATTAATGAAAAGAAATCTTCTATACATACATACATAATTGCTTTCAGTTTTGCAAAAACAAAATTCTGTATCATTGCAAGGCACTGTTATTAGTAGCCAACAACACATCTTTTAAATTGCATGTGATAAAAGATCAAAGAACATATCTCATCCACATTCAAAATCTACCAGTATTTACTTACAAAAAATCTTATAAATGTAACTATAAAATGGAACTTCAATATCCATCATTTCAAAGAATAACAACATACAAAGTCTGTTTTCACGTGGAATAAAATTACAATGTTCTTACATTTTTTGCAATAGCTCTGTAATCTGATTTCTAGTCTGTCTCTTCTGTTTATAGCGGGTCTTTTATAAAATGCTTGATAATATACATTCTTCTCTATGCGGCATTTATTGCTTTATAATCTGATTAATAGCATATCATTATGCATAAATTTACACTTGCAAAATTTATGTAGTGTGGAGTCTGAACATCTTCGGGTAAGAACTGAAGGCTAAACGAGCAGAAGCTCTTGCCGATGGCAGGTCTTTAAAATCAAATCTCCTTATTTATCTTTCAGGGAGAGTTTGTTGTCTATGAAGACTGCAGGACCGTGTCAACATCTCAAAACATCATCAACTTTGCATATGAAGAGAGGGCTCCGGGAATGAACAACCCTCCCACGTTCCAGGAGTGTGTGGGGAGCAGGCTAGCATAAGACATCTGCAGGCACCGTGTCAATAGAAAAGGATTTTGACTTTTTCTCTGAGACTCAGTTGGCAACTGGCCTGCTTCCACTGCTATCCAATCAGTGACCAGAAGAGCAGACCCCCACCCCCAGACTCTCAGAGATCACGCAGTGCTGCCCTGTTGACTTTTCTCTGACGAGGAAAAAAGGAACAAATACTATTGTCCTGCTGCCTTCTTTGTTCAGGAGTCTCCAAGAGAGAGTATGTGTAGTGAAACTGAACTGGAAAAGGAGACACTTAAGGCTGTCGCCTGGCTCTCTAAGTCCCTCCGTATGGAACAGTGGCGAATCCATTATTTTGTGTCTCTGTTCTTCCACACCCTGTTTGCTGAGGAGTACATTGGGCCTGATTATGTCTAGGATCTCTTCATTTCAAAGGTCCATGACTGGACATTTCCAAGCCCTGCCTCCCAAGCAGTAAGCCAGGAGGGGTATGGACATATGGATCCCCTTCAGCTCTGAGCCCCATGTTCCTTGACCCCAGTCCGGCCTATAAATGACTTTTCTGTGTTCTATGATGTAAGGAAAAGCCAGAAAGTACTGCTTTAGGAGACTTTATGGGACTTCCCCTTCTTGGCGAATAAACATGGCCTTCGTCCACCATCATCCTGGACATCAACAGGAACCGGCACAGAAGGAGGACCCTCCATGGGAGGAGGGAGGAGGAGGTGTGATTTCTGAACTGCGATTGGACCAGCAATGATGACAGGGAGCACCATTCCCTGGCATCCACCGTTAATAAAAGGCCGTTGCTTGGACTGTAATTATGGCATTCTTGCTACCCAAACTTGAAGCTTTTATGGGGCTTCTGCAATTATCTACTTAAATGCATCGTAACACTTGCTTCTCTGACAGCAAAGTATTGATTTTTTAATCATTTTCAAGTCTCCTCCAGCACAAATAAATGTACTACAGTTACAGTTAATGCACTGTGTACATGCATTAACCGCGGGCGCGCCGCCATTCATTACTTGGCGATACAGAGAGCTGAAGTCTGGCTCCTCAGAAAGTAGTGCAAGGATTCGACATCAGGATGGAAGCTGCCACTGTCCTTGGTGCTCCCAATCCTCTAACTTCTGGGGACCTTTTTAAATAGGGTACTTAGGCCTAAAAAAGGACGGGGTGCTGAATAAAATCTTTTATATATGTCAGTGTGGATGAAATTAAAACTCATCTCACTGAGAAGATAGGGTTTATATATCCCTAAAGGTGTCACTGCGGAACCTATGGCAGCTTTGCTCAGATGCATTTTGGTCCATTTCTTTCCTTGCACATATTTAGGACGCATCTATCAAAATACTTGGGTAATATATCTACATCTCTATCTCTATATATACATATACACATAGACATATGTATGTATATAGGCTGATTCAATTTTTACATATTATAATTGTGATGCTTTAATGCCGTACAACAATTAGCATATTATAAAGCTAAAACAGTGTTTTAAAAGGTGTGAATTCCGAATGCCATTTCTGTGCCCCACAAGGGCCAAGTGCAGCCCCCGCTAAAGTCACATATCTCAACACAGACCTGGCGACAGAGGTCATCGCGTATTTTACCCATGAGCCTTTTCCTGCGGTGGTGCATCCGCACATTCAAAATTAAAGCTGGTGAGTCAAAGCAGTTAATTTTGTTTTGTGAGAAATAATATCATTTTAGTTTTAGCATCTAAGACAGATGCCAGCGTTTCCCTCTGAACAGATGGTAATTCCATCTAATAGTGCATCTCTGTATTAGTGAGGTCTGTTGTGTATACAAACAGTAATAAACAGTAGGTAAGGATCAAAATAAATTTTAATTGTTGACATTAAATTCTGGCAGCCACAGTTCTGAGGCGGCAGTACTCCTTTTTCAAGCCTGTCAGATTTACGGAGGCTTGCGGGGCTTTGCCGGAAGCCGCCCCATCCCAGTTCCAATAGAGAAATGTTCCAGGGCTGCCAGTTACTGGTTTGCACCGGGATGCCTATTGTCCTACACTGAGATGATTCTTCCAGAATGACAGGGAAACGGTGCGCCTGTGACAGCCTGCCAGGATTTCTTCTAGAATGGCCTTGAAGGACTGAACGTTTAATGAAGAGGTTGATATACAGCGGTTCTCAAACTGTGGGTCGCGACCCCTTTGGCAGTCGAACGACCCTTTCACAGGGGTCGCCTAAGACCATCCTGCATATCAGATATTTACATTACGATTCACAACAGTAGCAACATTACAGTTATGAAGTGGCAACGAAAATAATTTTATGGTTGGGTCACAACATGAGGAACTGTATTTAAAGGGCCAGAAGGTTGAGAACCACTGATATAAAGTGTTAGGTCCCATGGTTACATTGGGGAGGGGGCACAGTATTATCACAGCCACTTGGGTATCTTGCTCAGTAAGGGTCTCCCATTCAACTGATGCTATTCTATGTGCAAATCCGGGCATTCCTGAACTATCCGAGAGTGACATCATTCCTATCTTTGGTTGGCTTTGCCCAAGTCTGAAGGATTTCCCTGACACCACAGCTCCCATCAACGGCTCTTCTATAGGCTTGGCCAAGTGCGCCAACCAGCACCCATTTGGCTCTCCGAGTGCCTCCAGCGACCTGGTATTACCAGTTGCCGTGGCTATTTATTTTGGGAAGTTGCCATGTTTAAAAAAAAAGAATCATTAAAAAAAAAGAGTCTGGCATTCAGGTAACTGTTCAATAACAAACATGCTTTGCAATCATATTTCTTTAAAAAATAGATGCATTTTTTTAATCATGAAAAATATATTGCTTCCACCATATGGGACAACCAACGACTCGCCGACCGATTTAAGCGGCAGCATATTGAGCTGACCATATGTTACAGTGCTGCGGAATGGCTGAGTGATTCATGCCCGTCACATTCTAGTATATCAATTAAAGCTCCTTGAAGTCTGCATGATTTGTGTCTCTGTTATTAAACCCCCTGCTAAATTCATCCCCACTTTTCATCCCACTTACACATCTGTTATAAATCTCGAGGAGTGCGGCATGATTCATGGCAATCTGGGAGCAAATTCTTCTCCTTGTAATTAACAGTAAATTGTTTTACTGCCATGCGATGAATTTTTCAGTTATATTGCAAATGAACTCCTAAATGTGCGGTTCTTGCCGAAGAACCGACTTATATCATTAGGCAATTAAAAAGTATTGCTCTGAACCAAAAGCTTTTAATCAAGGGAGATTCAACTTGAACATCGCTGAAGAGCGGTGGAATCTGACGCGTGGGGAAAACTGTAAAGGCATTTCTGGTGTTGAAAGGGCAAAACAGACCAACAAACAAGAGCCCTTCCTGCTGCTGGGGATGTCGCGGATGCTGAGGGCTGCCTGAGCACCTGAGCCAGCACCCTGCGCATCTCGCAGCTCCTGAAGAGGAACTGCCATTCCCAGATTTCTCCGGTTGCCTTCCACGCCTCTCACGAAAGCGCTGCCTGGATTCTTGGAATAAATAATTGGATAATTAGCCCCGCTGAATCATCAGAGGATTCCGGTGCTGTTCGAGTGTTCTTGTCAGAGGTGAAGCCAATTCATTTCGGCTCCCTCTGCAGCTCTTCGCAGAGGCTGTGATTTTAAACCCCCTCCCCCCGTTTCCCGGCAGCAGCCTCAGATTCATGAGTCCATACATCAAGTCGGTAGTTTAACAACAAATGGAATTAAATTCAAAGAAGGGAAACTAATTGAAGGACAGCAACAGAAGTGTTTGGTAATGTGCTTTTTAATATGGCACGCCGCATTTGCATGATAATTTTTTCCTTTTTAGCGTGGAGCCGAAAGTGACTGGCTTAATGAGGGATTATTCAAGACAGGAGCGAACCAAATGCATTCATAACTCAGAACAAAGATTGTATTATGAAACAAAAAGCAGCGGCGACCTCACAGAAGTAACAGGATGATTGGTTTATGCATTATGAATAAAAAGATAGAAAAATATTTATATTGGTATTCACTAATGACTATATGTACAAGATTGTTGTAATTAAAATTATAAATTAACATATTAAGAGTGCTTGTTTAATCACTCTGGGCCCTATTCGCAGTGAAAAGACTTAGGTACCTGCATGCAAAACAATGTGTGTTTTCAACCCAGCAGCCAAGAGCCTGTACATTTTACTTTGGATTCAGAGAAAAAAGCTTAATGCACCACTAATTACTTGCTTAATGGGAGATGGGCTCATCTGAGCTCGCGGTGCAGAGGTCAATTTCTGACGGCAAAGGAAAGAGCAGTGTCCCTCCAGGACCGGATCTCCCAAAGAAATTTCTCTTAAAAAAAGGTTTAAAGTGTACTTCATTTGCAAAGGATAGAGATGCACAGATTTCCTCCATTAAAAGGGTAATTCTCAAGGATAACAAAGACTCTAAGAGGGTTCAGTCCGAAGCTCATTACCCTCAGGCCCTTGGAAGAAACTCCAAAGCCAGGGCTCAAATCGCCTGAAGATTTTACAATGGAGACAGAAGCAGCCGCTCCAGGGAGAACCCCTCCCTCAAGTCGGATTCCAGGCTTTGCCCTGGCACGAAAACTAGAGGAGTAATGATGGAATATTCTAAATGAAACACACCAATTCTAAGCTTATATCGAATTGAAACACACAGGTGCGCGCACACACACACACACACACACACACACTTAAAGCACAAGAAAGCAAATTATAATTCTCAAGCCTTTAATGAAACAGTCAGATAAATCTTTACAAGTGTCTTTCTCATTTATCTGACTGAGATTTAAGGAAGACACATTTTCATGATTTAGCTGGATACTACTTGTGATTTTTGGTACTTTTTTTAAAAAAAGTTTGTAAATGTGGTTGGCTTCTTTTGATCTCCAGTAATGAGCTCATATGAACTGAATTTAGATTCACAAGTGAAATTTGCCCCCAAACCACCAGAATTCACTGGAGTAATATATATCCTCCAAATTGCCATTTTATTACTAGAAGACAACATACAGGTGAAAGTCAACTTTCAGTCATTTCCTACATCAAACCTGTTGACGATTCTAAAGGCTTGGCTTTCCCATTGCTGAGTTCTCTATCTTAATATCTGTGCTACATGCAGATATATAATCTCAAGACAAGTTTTAGGAAGAACCATAGAACTCGCTGCAGCCACTGTGGTTGGTGGCAGCACAGACATCATGGCTGCACTGAATGGGGAGGACTGGGTTTCAAGGTCATTTTTCCTGCTTTACTCTTTGCAGGCCCAGGGCGTGTCTAGTCTCTAGGGACAGGCATGTCTCCCTTCAGTTCCTTTAGTTTGTGTCTCCACTCAGCCGGCCAGGGTCTTATCTGGAAGACAGGGCCTGTGCACACAGCACCCGAGACCAGGCATGCGAGCTGCCTGTGGGAGCCGCCTGGGAATGTAGCCTGAAGGAGAGGAGGCTGGGGCAGAGGCACTGTTATGGAAAAACTTATTGCAAGTGATGTCATGAGGAAGAGAAACAGACTGAGGACAGCCCCCGGGGAGTAGAAAAAGAATGTTAAATAGAAGCCGCAGGGAGATCGCTCAGATCAATATAAGAAAACACCTTTTAGAAGAGGTGTGACTTGCCTGAGAGGTAGGAGCTGCCCTACCACTAAAGCTATCAGACTGTTGGACAAACACTTGGGAGGGATGTTATAAAGAAGATATTATTAGCCCGGCTGGTGTGTCAGTGGTTGAGCATTGACCTATGAACCAGGAGGTCAAAGTTCAATTCCACGGAGCACCTAGCTGAAATGCATGTAGATGAAATATGACTGGACTATAGATTAAATACATAAAAGTACAGAGTCCTGTCATAGAGATAATAAAACATAATTTCTTGGAATTTGGGAGTCGTTCTCATGGATGGAAAATTTGAAGAAACACAAATTCCTTGGATGAGATCATTTGAACGCAACGAGGTTTACCAGAATGAAAACAAAATAAGACAACAGACTCGCGCACTGGACCTGAAGACAGGAAGAGGGTCTAGGGAATGTTTTGTAGCGGGATATTTGTGCACCATCTGTCATTCATGTCGGAGACTTTTCCACTCACAGCAGGACATTTTCTTAAGGAGCCCCAGGAAACCAAGCCTTGTTGGGCGGCTGATGGAAAACTGATTTGAAAATAGACTAAAAGCCCTATAATTGTGTTATCCAGGTAATAATACAGGTAATCCTGTTTGCATTGAGTCTGGTTTTTTTCTAAGTGAAGCAAGCAAATATATGTACAAACCACTTCCTACTATGACCATAGTGGACAAGTCTTTACTTTTTATAAACTTAGCACATTCTTATGAATACTAAATAAATTAATAAGTACACCACTGTCTATCTAATAAAGGCAAAATATACCACCAGCAGGGCAGCCTGGTAATTCCCAATGTCTGCCTCTGGTTCCCTAACAGAGCTGTGAGTAGACCCACCCCCAAAAAAGGTCAAGACCGAGGGACGAGATAGTCTGAGCCCTCATAAGAAGCCTCCTGCCAGGCTGGTGTGTCTCAGTGGTTGAGCATCAACCTACGAAGGAGGTGGTCACAGTTCCATTCCCTGTCAGGGCTCGATCCCTAGTGGGGAGTGTGCAAAAGGCAGCTGATCAATGGTTCTCTCTCATCATTGATGTTTCTCTCTCTCTCTCCCCCCTTCCTCTCTGAAATCAATTAAAAAAGAAGAAGGCCCCTGAATACGTCTAACAATTGTCAGGGCATCACCATGATCTGGGATGGTGGCTGAGCCCAGGGGCTTCTCTGCACTTAATTCTATTTCTTATTATGGTAACAGCTGCAACTCAGGACTCCTAGGCACCTCTTACACTTGTTTATTTTTCTGGTTAAAAAGGCAAAGGTAGTAGCAATCAGGATGAGTGAGGGAGCAGGAGAAAGCAAAAGACAAATATAAAGTCCAAACGGGAGAAGGGGTTGAGCTTTGTAGGTGTTCGTTTATAAATACACAGTATATTTTTCATGGCCGTGGAAACTGGCTTACCTGCTGGCAACGTCTGCCCTGCTCCCGAAGCACTGGTTACACAACCAACTGAATTGCAGAGGGAAACAGTGAAGTTGTAGGTCCTGTAAGGTTTCAGTCCACTTACAATATAGGACAGCTGCTGGGGTTCAGTCCTGGCCAACACCTTCCAGGCAAAAAAAAAAAAAAGAAAAAAGTCAGATAGTAGATAATCTATGTGAAAAATATCACCTTGGCCGTCCAAGTTCCATGAATTCAAACAGAAGGAGGTACTGCCAATCACTCTTAGGAGAAGAGAATTTGTTGGAAGAGTCTCAACAAGCAAGGGTTTAATTGATAATCATCCAATCACACTGTTTTATGGGGTGATAATGCAGTTCCTGAGTGGATAAGTGAGGAACCCACATTATTGCCCTATAAAGCAGCGTGGCGGTATGGTTATTGTCTCCGATGGTGAAGATAAAGGATGGTGACACTGTCATTGTTATCATGAAAAAGTCCAATTAAAACCATAGGGCTTGGCCAAAGCTACCCCCGCGCAGCAATGCCCACATGCTATTCGATGGAGATGGTACAGAAAGATGTCACTTTGCTAAATCAATCCCATCATTTTCTTTAAAACAAAACAGAACAAAACAAAACAAAAAATAAACACATTACTGAGCAGCCACATGAAGTCAATTCTCAATTATCTTTCTTATGCAAATAAACACATATGCATTAGATCAAACAGTTATATTTTTTGAAATGGTGTCTTTATCACACAGTCTCGGATGAAATAGCAGATATGAGCAAAGGAGACCGGGAGGAACTCCCTAGTCCATAAACAAGTAATTAAATAACCAACACTGAGAGTTGGGCCCGTCATTCTAACTAGAAATGATCAAAGCATCCATGTAAATTTGCTTGGTCTGTAGACACAAAGAACCACTGGAAATTCTACTGAGAAAAAAAAAAGTCATTGAAATGGAGAGTATAACAATAAGCATGAGTAAGTACAAAACTGTTTCTGCTAAGGATTGGTGATATAAAAAGAGATCACAAAGTCTTTCATAAATACAAATACATTCCATAAATATGAAAACTTGTAAAGGTTAGTCATATATGCAGGAATTTTCTACATATTTTCCCTTTAGAAGTACAATAAAATTCATTTGGAATATTTGCTTGAGTCTTGATTTTAAATTTTTATAACCTAGGTGAGTAGTTCTAAAAAACAGTGTGATTAGAATTTATTTATTTTTAAAAATCTATTTTTGTGATTTTTTTTATAGAGAGGAAGGGAGAGAGAGAGTTAGAAAAATTGATGAGAAACACCTTACTAGGGATTCAGCCTACAACCAAGGTACATGCTCTTGACTGGAATCAAACCCAGGACCCTTCAGTCTGTGGGCCGATGCTCTATCCATTGAGTCAAACCAGTAAGGGCTAGAATTTAAATTACATCATTTACATATGGTTTCAGAAATAAAGGTGATTTCAAAGTATCTAAAAATCGGGGAATAATTTAAAACTGTGGAACCATTTCATTGCAATTACATTTAGAAATCAGGAAAACAACAGACACTGAATTAATCCTTTCTCTCTCTCATTATAAAATGGTTATTGAGGATATAACTTTTACCATTTTTGCCACATGACTTAAAATTTTCTAAATAAAATACAACTTAAAAATGGGTAAAACTTACTTCACATTGCTATAAAAATTTATCCCGTTTAGAACAACCTGGTGTTATTGATGTAGATTTTTGGAAAACAAAATTGTTTTTAGTATAAATATGTTAAGGTGTATGTGTCTTCTGTATTCTCTCATGTTCTGGGAGAGCACACCCCAGGTCTGGGAATGCTGTTCCGACCACGGTGCCAAGTCACAGGGAGGCCGCCAGCACCCAGAGGAGGACAGGACCCGGGTTTGTTGCAAGCAGACAGACCAACCACTTTGGACATGAAGCCTCGCAGATGCTATGCTACCAGAGGTGATTGGAGTGGGAGACGGCGCTATGAGACCCTGTAGCAAGGCCACAATAAGAGAATCACTAGGTAGACACCTAGGGTGTGGAGCAAAGACTTATCACAGGATGGAAACCACATACCATTTACTAGAGCTGCTAGCATGCTATTGGGCCTCAGAAAAAGAAAACTGAGTAAGGAACATTAGCTGGCCATGCAGCCAAAGCTACTCCTCATGAGCTTTGTGGGACATGCCAAGTCTTAAGGTCGGGTGCGCCTAACAGAAATTCATCATCAAAGGGAAGTGGTATCGGGAAATGGACATAAGGCACAACATGCTGGGCAAGCAGGTAGTCCAGCCCCCCATGTCATCCATCATTCTGGTGACTCAATCTCAGCTCATACCCAGGACTCCTTGGAGGTCTCCTACAAGCTGAGAGAGGAGAAAAATGCGGTTCAGTTCATAAACGGGTTGTCTTAGTATGTGGTTGCAAGTCAAAATGGATGAAGGCTGTAGGGATGGTCCTGAAAACCAGCAGCAAGAAGATATCCTCTCCATGGGCAGACCCTCAGGCAGTGTACCTGGTCCTCCACTCTGTGTGCAAAGGGAAGGGACCGAGGTAGCTACACCTGGACCATATGATGGTGGCTTGGTTGTATGGGTCCTGACATCAAAGCAAAAAGACTGGAAGATGAGGTACCAGGAAGTCTGGGGGAGAGGAATGTGGGTAAACTAATGGGAGAGGCATCACATGGGAAGACCTTGTTGTCACATTAATCCCTTTCAAAGAGCATCTCTGTCTGCAGGTAGAGGTGCTACACGGCCAAGTATGCAGTTACCTGTCTAGCTGACACTAGCCAGTATCTGTCATTGGCCACCCTCCTGTTGATCAAATGGATTGTACCCTGGAACAACCATACACTGTGGGCTAACGTGAGCCTCCCATCCCCTAAGCTTGTTTATATGCGTATATCTATCCAATGAATTAGACCAGGTACATAGTAAATACCCAGTAGCTGTCAGCAATGATTATGATTCTCATTACCGCTAGCTGGAGAAGGAAATACAACAAGGCAACAGGTCAATATCCACCCCGAACTTTGAACATCATAACCTTTACTATAAGCTGTGAGAAATTCCACTCCTCAGATTTTTTTCCAAGGAAAGAGAAATATGCAAAATGCACATTAAATGTTCTTATTAATGTTATTTATATTTCCAAAATAATTTATACAATACTAATATCAACTGATTTTGCACTGGTTAAAAAAATTATTGTATGCCCAAATACTATGATAGTACATAGCTACTGAAAATCAGCTTCTTACAAAACTTTTAAGGATAGATATTAAGTGAGAAAAGTAGATTTCATTAAACAGAATTATACAAACTTAGTTTTAAAATATGCTTATATTAGAAAACATAAGGTACATAAATAGAAGAGCTTTGTACATGTCACATTACATTAGGGAATAAATGCCCCGTTTAAGCAATGTCTAAAGAATTCTGTCACTGAATTCTGCGAACTCAGAAAATGTCAAACTGAAGATATAATTCAATTGTGAAAGGACACTGTGTGAGAATAGCAATACCTGTGAAAACACCACCGGAGCAGGTTGTTGAGGCGACTGTTCAGAAATCATATTGATCTCATATCCCACAACATCTCCTCGCGTAACATTATCGGCCGGCTTCTCCCAGGACACGTTGAGAGAGTGTGGTGAGAGGGGGGAGACCGAGGGAGGGGCCATGGATATAGGCTCTGTCAAGGGCAACAATGACAATAGTGAAACCATGAACGCTGTACTCACAGGCTTTCCAAATCGAGTCCCCACATTCATTCAAGTTTCTGAAATACCCCGGGTTTTTTTACATAATATTCGGTTGTTAAAAATCAAAGAGTATACTGCTGCATATAAAAACTATTCATTTTTACATGTTATCTGCAAGGATGTCCTCCAATTTCATATTACCAGCAAAGATGTTTTCCATTTATAAAAGAAAAATAATCTAGGAGTTTGAGTGTGTTCATAAAGATAACTAGTAGATAATTAGGTGGGAAACCATAGGTCTTATAAAGTATTTGAAAAAGAAAAAAAGAACGTGTTCAATAAATCTTGATTGAAACGTGCAGGGTACATACACACATACATTCTCCCCTTGCCATCCTTGAGATCTTAATGCGGATTTTAAATGTGCTAACCAAAGGTGTATTATCAAAGGACCTCATCACACTTTCATTAGCCAGTGACCCATAAGATTACGAGGGTCCGGTGATGCGGCTTCACCCATTACTTTTCATTTCTGACCTTGACTTTCCCCTTCCTGAACGCCATGGCTCATCACCTGTGCTATCTTGGCACTGTTATTTGTCCAAGATGGCTGGCACAATGCACATTTTATTCATGAAATGATTCCCTTGGACATCAACCTACAGCTACCCTTTAGCCTCCACAGTCCTAACAGGGTCCACGTTAAATCAGGACTCGGGTTTCTTCGGATATCCATGAATTAATTCAAAGCATAGCAGAAGCGTATTTTTTTATTTTGGTAAAGACTCATAACATGTGAAGTGTTTTTCATGTAAAGAGTAAAGTGGAGAATTAAAAATATCTCATTTGCCTTAGGAAAGGTTTCTTTAAAAAATTTAAAAAGATTTTTCACCCTCCTTCTTTTCCATATTGCCAACTACTCATTCAAGCACACTCGTGAATTACAGATTCTGAAATCCAGGATTCTGTCACTTGGTGTGATCTAGTAGCTCAACTATTTGTTTTGGAAAGAGAAATAGAACGGAAGCAGAATTGTGAGGTCTGCAACGGGATCTCCTTCATTGAACATGAACTGTGCTGAATCTGGAGCGAGATGAGAACATATGGCCAGCCCGCTTCAGGACTGGAAACCAACTGCTACTTTGCAAACATTCCTAAAAGGCTACTACTTTAGTTAAGTCATTTCCCCCCCTCCCCTTGAAATAATAACTAAAGCATTTTCCCCCTAAAACGTTTCAAGTTCTTTATGACCTTGAGTTATCCATGTAACCAACGTTTTCCCTTGGCTTATGTAAGTTGATAATTCTTACTCTAGTGCTGTGGACTTTAATTGGAGGCAATATTTTCATTCAGGGGTTTTAAAAGTAGAATTCAGAGCTTGACCTTCACCTGCTTCTCCTGTCCGTCCTGAGGCCCAGGGGGAGGACACACTGCCGGCCATATTCCCAGCCCAGACTCTAAACTCATATGTGGTGTAAGGCTCCAGGCCAGGGACGGTTGTGGCTGCCAGAGGGGGTTTCAACGCATTTTCACTGGCCGACTCTGCCAACGGGCGAGGACTGAGCCAGCCGCTGCTCTCAAACACCCGACTTTCTGCTGACGTGGGTTCTCCGTCAGATCTCAATCTTCTCATGTAGAGTTCATACCTTGCAATTATTCCTAGAAAAGGAAAACAGGAAGCCAAGATGATTCATCAGACAAACAGACTATTTGGGGGGTAGGGTGGAGTTAAATCAGTTAAAAATTATAACATTTTTCAGGATGAATGGTTATAATTTCTACTAAGAATAGCTTTTTCTTTATGGAAATTTTATCAGCATGCTTCCAATTTATATATTTCAAATTTGGAGATTTTAATTTGGCTATCTGTCTAACATAAGGCCTGTTTGCATAAATATTAGAATATTATAGTTGATTTCCACCTAGTTTTATCAAGTAATTTTAAAAGTCTAAGAGAAAAAAGGTTTTGCCATAATATGTACATGATATTAAATTACTAAAAATCTATGAAAGTATGTCTGGCCTATATAACAGGGTTCAATTGTATGAACACAAAAATTAACTTAATGGAGTCAGCTAGCCTATATACATATTTTTTTGTATTACTTTATATCCTTTTTTAGGCCTAAAAGAGAAAATTTACTGCTTAAGGGTGCCCTAACTCTGTGACACAGTCAAATATAATGCATTTTGTAAGTGAGTTTTAAATTAGAAACATAATTTGTGTTGTGGCAGATGTCATTAAGAGCAAAGATAATATCAGCCTTTTAAGGGGCAATTTAAATGAATGGAATTTGTTATTAGATTAAAGAAATACACTCGTTCTACTAACCAGGACAAATAGTATCTTACGTCGTGAGAGATTGTTTCTCAATTATTATATCTTGCAGTTATAAAAAAACGCATGGGGCTACGAGACACTCTTGCACAATTCCAAATTCCTTAGGTTCTCACTCAGGTCTGGCCCAAGAAAGTGAAATCTAGGCCTGGAGTTCCTACCATTCGGTTCCATCGGCGGAGCCCACTCGACACGCAGTTCTGTGGAACTGATGGCCAGCACCACAGGGGGACCAAGCCCTCGAGGAGGAGCCTGGGCTGTGGTCACGGTTACGGGCGAGCTGTGTAAACAGCCCCCACTGGTACAGGCCTGCACGGAAAAGCGGTACTCGGTGAAGGGAAGCAGATTCCAGATGGTAGCCGTGGTTCCGCCACTTTCATGGGGAACGCAGGGCTGGGCGTCATCGAAGGGAGCGCAGGACAGGAGATACTTCTCTACGGGGCCAGCGCGATTGGAGGCTGCCGTCCAGGTAAGCGTCACTGAGTCAGAGCCAACAGGGATGACATAACTTAAGTTCAAGGTTCCCTCTGGGACCCCTGGCCTTGTCCTGTAGGCGACAGCTGCACTCCTCGTCGAACCCTGCACACTGGAGGTCTCGACGGAATAGGAATAGGAGGTATATGGCGACAGGGCAGTGTCTAAGAAGTAATTAAAAAAAGAAAATGAGAAGAAAATAGTTACATTCCGCAAAACTGGCAAGGAAATCATTTCTACTGGTTCTCCTGGCGAGGAAATCATTTCTCCTGGTTCTCCTATTATATGACTTAATGACATGAGCTATACCAATCCACTCTGTATGAAGAACAGTTAGGCACCAGAAGGTTTTCTTGTTGTTTGGCTCATCCTCACACAGGGATATTCTCCCACTGAGTTTTAGAGAGTGGACGGAGGGGGAGAGACAGAGAGAAACATCCATGTGAGATAGACACACCAGACCCTGACCATGCTAACACCCTGACCTTGGACCTCTGGCCTGGAGAGCTTGAGGTAATACATTTCTGTTGTTTATAAGCCACCCGGACTGTGGCATTTCTCTTTAATAGTAGCCTGAATGGACAAAGACAGTGAACATCTGAGTGAAGGGTAAATCTGCTGTTCTTCATATATGTCACTGCAAGTTCCGCATGAAAATATGTTGAGTACTGCACTAGTCCAATCAGGACACAGAAGCCACGGAGTAATTTTGCTTTACTTCTCCATCTCCCTTCTCAATCATGAGAACTATCCTCTTCATCTTTGTGTTTCTAGTGGCTCATACAGTTCCTGGTCTGGCCTGAGCACTGAATAAAAGTTTACTGAATGAGTATATGAATGAATGGATAATTTTCCATATACACTGATTTATTTTTCTAGGCAATAATATTAACAGTCTTATAGAAACAACTGTTCTTTATTCTCTCTTTTGTGTTCATATCCCCTCCCTATGTTTTCTGTTTGTTTTTCTCAGAGGAACCATCTTATCACTTGTTGCATTGATCCTCTGATGTAGTATCCAATAATAAATTATGTGATATTAAAGGTGGACATGAAAACCTAGGATTCACTAAGATACATCATTGTCTGAAACTCTAAACTTTCCATTATTGTCAAAGTAATCATGTTCTAGTTTCCCCGTGGAAGCGTTTACCTAGAGTAACATTTAAGGACTAGCTCCCTACCCATTCCAAATGAGAAATGATTTAACTGATTGTGAATTGGAGGGGAGGGAAGGGAGAGGAAAAGCATGCTCCCATCAGCCCATTGAGTCTTTTGTGTTTCTTCAGCACAGAAGGTATATTCTCCAATCTGGCTTTTATTGTAATAAAGATGATTTTTATTTTAAATTTCCATCTCCCTGATTCTTAAGCCTAGTTCTCCTTCAGTTTCAAACCGAAGTTGGAAAAACTAATGTGATGTACTAGCCAGCCTAAAAATGTCAATACTATTAAAAGAGCGCAATATCCTGCAATAGCTTTTCTTGTCACATCTATGACACAGAAAATACCCATGTGCAACCCAGACTGGGGCTGCAGGGAGGTGATATTAGGTGCTAATTATGTATAATTCCCAATATGCTAACTTGACTTCTACACCTCTCTCTTCTACTTATGAAAGCTCACAGGTATGCACATGAGTGAATTTTTATTTAGGGAAACCACTGACTATACCTTACCTTATTTTTTAAAAGTTAATTCAGAACCTTTAAAGCGATCCCACTATTATTAGCATGCTATTACTAATAACCAATGACCTGCAGGCTCTAAAAGTAGTAATATACCGGCTGTCATGACCTTAGGTTGGAAACTAGTGACCCCACAGTGCAACAGAGCAGCTAGGAAAAGTCTTATTCCAACAAGGAATTCTACAATGGTCTCAACCAAACGTTCAGACTTGCTTGGGAGAGATTATTAATTTTCTTTGAAAAGTTCAATGACTCTGCACCTGTAATTCCAAATGCCTTCATTTAACCCAAAGATCTGTATTCATCTGACTGAATATAAGTAGTTTCCTTTTCATATTACACATGCTAGCCACACACTGGGAACGGAATAATAAACACGAGAATATTGTTAAGTGATACAAAGTTCTGACAGCCCTAACCAATTGTTCTTACTGTTCAAATGCCATCATGCAGATAATTGTCCCATCATTAATTATAGTGGCTGTCAAGAAATGCCAGAAGTGGCATTTTTTTTCATGAAAAAAATAAGGTTTTAGGAAAGAATACCTTGTATAATAGGATTATATAAATGTCTGATTAGTGAATGAGCACACATTTATTATGTAAGAAACTGTTATTTGGATTCTACTATAATAGTGCAATCATGTAAAAGAGCCGGAGTGTTTTACTCAAATGCAATGTTCTATAAAACACATCACAATATTTTATGGTGAAAAATATGCCTCTAGTCAGAATGCTGTAAGCGAAGTTTAATATCATTACGGAATTAAGCTGTATGGGAAACTGGGTGACCCTAATTCACCACTTCAGCAGCAGCTCAAGCAGCGGTACTGTCATCTTCAAAACCACTTTCAATATTTCTGTGACTCCCTCCGCCCCTATCAAAAAAGTTTAAGTTTCAGGACACCTGGGTCATGCTGATATTTGGAAGAAAACAAACATTCTAGTAGCAGGATATCAGGATGCTCTGCCAGTGTGGCAGATGTAGGCAGATGTTCGCTTCCCTCTGCAATCTGCATCGTGAAGCTCAGGGTTCCCATTAACTTCCAAGAAGGCATGGAGTGCTGAACGGACAAGAGTTATCAGAAAGTCCGGATGTTATAATGCAGGTGCAAGTCACTCAGAATTAGGTGTGACATGTAACCCTTGGTAATATATACGGAATAAAACCATAAGCTATGCAAAACTTTTAAAGCCAATCAGCAAGTTAAAAGAAGGCACCCTCCTGATCATTCTGAGGAAGATTATGGAACTATAGAATTTCTTCATTGCTCTGTAGACTTTTCTAATTGTAAACGTTAACCTAGACTTTGGAAATCGGGCATTAAACCAAGAGAACAACATGAGTTGGCAACCTGTTGCCATGTTTCTTTTTAAAAAATATCTGTTATTGATTTTAGAGAGAGGGAGGAAGGGGGAGAAGAGAGAAACATCGCTTGGCTGCGTCCTGCATGCCTCCCACCAGGGATAGGGCGTACAACCTGGGAGTGTGCCCTGACCAGGAATCAAACCAGCAACCTTTCGGTACATGGGACAAGGCCTGACCAATTAAACTACACCAGCCAGGGCTCCCGTGTTTCTTAAACTGGCTTGTAGCTAAACAAGACCAGGAGCAAATATCAGAGAAGACAGAACTGGAAGGAACATTTTCTGTTTCTTCATTGTGTCTTTAGGGAAAATGTATCTCAAACATATGAGTGAGTATTTTCTAAAGACCATGTGTCTACACAGCTTGATTTCCACAAGCTCCTTTAAAATCTTCATACAAGTTACAGATGCAAAGACAGTGTTTACAGTTTGTTCACATCCTTCCTCTTTCAATTTAAGATCATGTTGTGCCCCATCCACTTTTAACCCGAGGATTTTAAAAATTGAATTCATATTATAGAAATATTTGATACATTTTCTCTAATCCTTATACCCAGAGAAAACTAAACATCAGTTTGTGGTAAGCCTTTCAGTCATTTTATATATTTTTGAATTAAAACATAACTCATAGATTATTTTTAAAACCACGTAATTACCTTAAACACTACATCTTGAACATTTTCCATTCATTAATATGTAAATTAAGATTTTTTTAAAGGCAATCATCCTACAATTTGCTTCACAATGTATCAGGAGTCATGTATGCCATGTACCGTAATTTATTGAAAGATTATTGAATGTCTGAATTTTCCAATATTTTGCTATTAGAGAATGGAGGTTTGAACGTATTTTGTGATATTGAGTCCACTGATGACTATTCATTGAAGACGAATTTCCTAAAATAAATTTGCTGAGTCAAATAGTATGCAAAGGGTAAGGTTTTGCATATACTTTAACAACTTATCCTGCATGAAAAGTTGTACCCATGGGCCCACACAGATATGCCAGCAGTTAGGCTGGTCCTAGCTCTTTCACATCCTCATCAATGCTGGCTGGTCTTTTTTCTTTTCACCTGTGAGAATTTGGTAAGCATTAAGGGCTTAGCAAATACGAAGCATCTCATTTATTGCATTTCTTTACTAGTGAGGTGTATAATTCTCTGTGCTTAAAACAGTTTTCTAGAAAGAGGAAACCATATTTATTATCAACATCAAAGAACCTAACTAATGTATCAACCCTCAGAATAGTGGATCTTTCCATCGAGGAATCTTTACACTCACCGTACGGATATTGATCTTCAGTTGTGTAGATTTCAGACCCGTCCCTGAATAAACGGTAAGTAAGCCAGTGGGCACTGGGAGGATCCGGTGGGCTCCAGGAGAGATGGATGGCCGAAGAACTTTGAACTTGTCCTCTGGGTGGAGGTTGCTGGGACGGAGCTAAATGACAGTGGGGAGAGCATTTATTAACAAAGGCAATCAATAAGCACATAAGTACACTGAAGGAAGAGACGTAGCAAAGAGGTCTTTCTGTTCCAGGATTACTTCATCAAGAAGACACGCGGTTGACCAAGACATTAATAAACAAAGGGTACAGATCATGAATTTCTAAAACAAAGCATTGTATCTGTAAGCATAATACAGATTTGTAGGTCAGTGCAGCTTAACAGAAATGTAATTGAGGAGGAAACCCCAAAATTTTACAGTAAGCACTTCTTTGAGGAACCAACCAAGAATGCATCAACACTCATTTTCTATTTAATTAATTTAAATGGTGACATAAATAAGATCCATTGACACTTGAAATTGAAGAAGCATGATGTTGAGGTGTCTGAAAAGGACGTTTTCCATCGCATTAAGCAAAATGCCTCATCTTGCTTCACAGAGCACAGTGTAAGGAAAGGATAATAGTTGGTCATACAAATAGCGATGGATGTTATGAATGCTAAACAGTCCAAATATTAGCAGGAAACAATCTGAATGTACTATGTGGACACGCCAGCACCTGTTAGGGGTGCCAGGATGGTAGATCATACTGATGTCGGAGGTTAAAGAAAAACATTCAAGCCAGATACACTCTCACTCCTCCCCTTTAAGTCTTTGTTTCTCCTTTGGAATTAGCATTGTTATAGGAAAAGTCTAACTGTCCGTATGCCTATTTAGATAGAGGACAAGAGTAGTAACAATCTCAAAAGGACACATGAAAGGAGGATTATTTCTAAATACCTGATATTTTCAAAATCATGGATTCGCCATAATTGATAAGGTCACTTTGATTGGCTGAACACTGACAGTACATTTGATGTTGCAGCGAGTTTTAATTTAGGGCTCTAAAGGCTGTTGCTCGCAGGAGAACCACAAAGATCACAAACTGTCTCATTTACAGCACTCTCTGAGAGCCTTGCCAGCCACGGCAATTTAATATTTTTTTTTAGTGATTATTTGTAACTACATCTAAAACTCTGCATGTTATCAGGGGCTCACCAGATTGCAGGGTTACAGCAATCAACACTGACCTTCAGACCATTTCCGAAGACAGTGAAATACTTTCAGGATGACTGCAAGAGAGAGATGTTTCAGTCCCAGGTCAAAGGGCACTGAATGTGACTCACATTCCACGAAAACTTCCTTGGCAACACACACACACACACACACACACACACACACACACACACACCGATACACACACAGGGCTCCGCTGAATATTTAAAGTTGACTATATGTTAGGACCACCTCTCCACTATCTCCTCCAGGTTTTCGGTGTGAATGAATAGTGCCTGTTTGGCATTTACATGAGCCTTTTCATAGACCAGAATGTTTAGATGGCCTCACACCCTTTGGGGAATAAATATGAAATGCTGGGCATGCGATAACTTGAGCCCATCCTTTCTGTGCTGAAAGTAGATTTCTGAGAAAATGAGCACATATTCATTCATCAAAATTGCCAGGAACGGCCTCTGCATCTGCCAGACTCTCCTTCAAGGTCGGAAGGCATGATGCTGTGACCGCATCCATCAGTCTCGGAGCCATGAGCTTTAATCTTGGCTTTGGCACTTTGGTAGTTGTACGTCTGTAGTCAAATTTCGATTGAACTCTTTGAACTTTTCCCCATTTACAGCAGGAGGATGACGATGTCTACCTGTCAGGGTTATAAGATGGCGTGTGTGCCTGTGTGTGTCCCTCTCTCTCACAAAAGGCTAGATAGATCCCTCCAGCATTTACCTTTGCCATCCCTACGAGGTCATTTTTGTCTACATAGGCCCAAGTAGATGACCACTAAGTCCACAACCAAATCGGCAGGAAGGAGAAGAGGAGAGGCAGAGGGCATGCCCTGTGCCGGGGTGGGCACAACCCAGGAACCCACATGTCACTGGTGCCCACACGTGTCAGTCGGGAGATTAGCGGCATGGTGATCATCAACTACAGGAGAGGATAAGGCCACTGGCCCAGCTCTACGTTCTGTTAACTTAAAACAAGTGGACGATGGAAAAATAAAAGAAGAGCTGGAGAATTAAGAGATGTTTCAAAAGGAAAGATGAGAATAGGGTGCTTCTGGTTAAACCAACATGAATAGATCAGTGATATGAAACTGGGCAAATCATCCAAAGAACTATTTCTGGGCGCTCTAACTCACAGTGATTGGCAGGAGCTGTGTGGTCTGAAAGTATCTGAGCATAAACATTGCCCATATCATTGGCTTATTCAGACATAGGAGCAATCCCCTAGGAAGCCAGGCTATACGTAAAAATTAAAAAACAAAACAAAAACTGATTAGAGACATCAGTACGATATAGTGGAGAAAGTTTTCCACTTTTAAGCCTATGCAAATTTATAAAAAAAAAAACCAACAACCCACACTAATAGCTTAAGTGTTTTCAGAGTAAAATTACAACACACTCAAAGAAACTGTGAACCAGACTCATAAAAGAGGCAATCAATAGACAGACTCCTGAGTGTAGCAAACAAACAGTAAACTGGAAGATAAAGGAGAGATGGATCTTAAAGATACAGCAATCTGCTTTATCCCATCCATGGGAAAGAGGCAAAGAAAAAGTCGGAACAAAAGGGAACAGAGCCGCAGGGACCTAGGAGACAATGTCAGGTGTGCCGTGCGCCAACACTGGTGTAATGGACCCCAAAGCAGAGGAGAGACCGAGAAAGGGAGGGGCAGAAAGTGAAACTGTGGTTGCCAGGGGCTGGGAGGGATGAGGGGTATTCACCTTTAAAGAGTATAGAGTTTCCATTTCAAAAGAAGAAAAGAGTTATGGAGATGGGTAATAGGGATGGTTGTACAACATTATGAATGAACTTTCAGAGGGAGGAGGGTTGTGGGGCTGGATTAAAAACATGAAGGGATTCAGCAATAACAACAAAACTCATAGACACAGACAACGGTATGTGTGAGGCAAAGGGGGGTAGGGGAGGTAGAAGATGTAAAAGGTGGGATACATGGTGATGGAAGGAGACCTGACTTGGGGTGCTGAACACACAATACAATGTACAGACGATGTATTATAGATAGGTACACCTGAAACCTATATGATTTTATTAACCAATGTCACCCCAATGCATTCAATAAAAAGGTTTAAAAAATTATTAATATGGTAATTTTGTTCTGCATATTTTACAATAAAAATATTTCTTTTAAGAAAAGGAGAATTAAAACAGCCTCTTTGATAAGCAGGGATAAAGAAAAAACGTGAATGATAAAAAGATGGATAGATAAGCAAGGGTAAGCAAAAGAGTGAGCCGAGAGTAGAGTCATATCAAGAAGAGAAACAAAGGATCTATAAATAGTTAAAACATAAATGTAATATTTATAATTAAATAATAAGTATACATGTATGTGTATATAAGTGTATGTGTATATTAGTTAATTTTATAGCCAGAAGTTTAAGGCAAACTGGAATATCATTCGTTAGGAAAGAATACAGAAGGCAGAACTATTAAATACCTATTTCCTTCCATCTCTCTTAACAAGGAAAATGACTCTCATTTTAAAAGCATGAGACAAATATGGATGGGCAAAAAGCACATCACACAACCAGAAAGCATACCATCGGAGAGGAGCTAACTGCTTTATCCGAAACCAAATCAATTCTCCCACACTCTGAAAATTAGATCTACCCCAAATCCTCATCATAAAAATCACAGACGCCATCACTAAACTCTTGTCAGTGGTCTCTAAGGACAAGGAGAAGGTAACTGTTATAACCCCAGGGTTCCCGAACTGCGCAGGAAAACACTTTGAGGCACTTGGATTCTCAAGGCAAACACATCCCTGACATGGACGGAGAGGAAGCCGGAGCCCGCGGTAGTTCACAGTTTCAACAATAGATAGCACCACGTTCCTTTCAATCGCATCCTTGAGAAGCAGGTTCTGGACGCTGGTAGCATAGAAAGCAAGGACCATGCGAAAAGCCAGGGGGACAGTAAAGAAAGCAGCACCCTCATGTGTGCCCCACAGTTAGCACTTCCCCGAGCCCCACGTTCACTGTGCTAAGCTCCTCTGAAGGCAGGACTCCTGTCTGATTCCTTCATTTAACCCATTTCCTCTGCTGATCCTGCGCTCCCAGCTTCGCACAGTGTTCGGTGAGCTTCCCTAAACACAAACCTAAAAGGGCACCACAACAACCACAGAAAGAGTTGAAGGAAGATGTGCAATCCTAAAGATCACAATTTTAAACAGAGAAATCAAAATGCCTATGTCCAGGGAAGAATACTTAGGAATATGCAAGTTTTTTTTTAATTATTCAAAATTAGAAGCATTTGAAAAGATCAAGAATGTTTAGCCCAGAGAAGAAAAGACATAACAAAGTGTCTGCCAATACTAAGAAAAGTAGGCCAATTCCCAGTGACCAGACTACCCAGTTTTGCCTGAGGTAGAATTCCTAGACCGTGTCTCAGAATCAAGAACAGGTAGCAAAAAGTGCAGCCGGTGCAAATATTCTCACACAAAATTCCTGGCAGAACCGATCAAAAAATCGCTAAGATTTGGTTTGTTTTAGTAAATGATGATCTACAGCTGACACCCAGAGCAATACGCTGGAATTGATGTTGCACACAAATCAATCAATTCTATAGCTAATCAGTGAATAACAAATATTAACTAAGTGGTCAGTAAAAGCCAGATTTGTGTGTCGACTGTATTTATACACAGGCAATTATGACGATGTTTTCTCAAGAGTAGCATAAACACCTACAGCTATGCTAACATCTAGAGGTACCAATAAACACAGGATACTGTAGGTGAACCACACAGGCACAAAATCTAAATACGTCTTAGTCATTAGCTATACCTGCCTTTCACTATCTCAAAACCCGGTACAGCCTGGCTGGTGTTGCTCTGTGTTTAAAGCGCTGGCCTGTGCACGGAAGGGTCTTGGGTCTGATTCCCGGTCAAGGGCATGTAGCTGGGTTGCAGGTTCGTTCACTGGCCCAAGTCCGGGCATATGTGGGAGGGAACCAATGGATGTGTCTCTTTCACCTTAGTGTTTCTCTCTCTCTCTCTCTCTCTCTCTCTCTCTCTTCCCCCCCATCCCCCGTCCCTTCCTTCCACTCTAAAAAGCAATGGAAAATATATCCTCAGGTGAGGATTAACAACAACAACTAAAATCAGGTACAGTTGCCGATATCCCATTAGTTCTCTCTCCCTTCCTTAAATAGACAGCACGGGCCCAGGCCTGTGGTGACATGTCCAAATGGTGGCATGTCCTAGTACTGTGACTCACGACCGTCTCAGGAAACCCGAGGAGGACATGCACAGCACACTGTGTGGCAGAGAGCTCCTCGCCATGTGCTTACAGCAGGTACTTCTTAGGAATTTTGAAAAAGGCGAGATGTATGATCTTGAAGGAAATACAAAGAATTCATCGGTATGTTATGAGATAGTAGGACAGCAGGGGACTGAATGGAGCCAATTCAAGGAACTGGAAAATGGTGTTGAGAAGTCGAAAGATGCTAAGAGATAAGCTCTGGCCCCCAAGAGTTAGAACTAGGAGCATGAGAGACGTCTAAACAGTGAGTGCCAGTGAAAACAGAAAGAGAAGAATATTAAATGCAGGGGTTAGGAATAAGCTTTGATAAATATCAATAAGCAACTACTAGTAGCACAGTGCCCATAAGACCTGTGGGATGGAAGGACGTAAAACTCAGAGTAAAATATAAATCTTCCATTTGCTATAGGCAATTGCCTGGAGATGCTGTTGGGTGGATGGGCGACTGATCATTTGGCTTAAGCAGGGATGTCCCTCAGGTTTTGGGAACATCAGGACTTTGGTCGACTTCTTAGAGATACTATTTCAACACATCAGTGTCCATTTCCCATGAGTAATATAATCATACTAGAGGCCCGGTGCACCAAGTTCGTGCACTCGGGAAGGGGGGGTCCCCTCAGCCCAGCATGTGCCCTCTCACAGTCCAGGCGCCCTTGGGGGATGTCTGACTGACAGCGGGGAGTGGACCTAAGCCGGCAGTCGGACATGCCTCTTGCAGTCCAGGACCCCTCGCTCCTTACCGCCTGCCTGCTCGCTATTCCTTACCACTTGGCTCGCTGCTCCTTAACACTGCCTCGGAGGCGGGAGAGACTCCTGCCACCACCGCTGAGCTTGCCAGCCGTGAGCCCGGCTTCTGGCTGAGTGGTGCTCCTCCTGTGGGAATGCATTGACCACCAGGGGGCAGCTCCTGCATTGAGCATCTGCCCCCTGGTGGTCAGTGTGAGTCATAGTGACCTGTCGTTCCACCATTTGGTTGATTTGCATATTAGCCTTTTATTATATAGGATCATCATAATCCATGACCGAATCAAGGAAAAAGAACACACGTTTTATTTCCAGCAATTTGTTTTTTTCGTTTCTGACCTAAACTTTCCGCCTTGTCCCTAAGCCTTCCTGATGGGTTCTCAGCGGGGAGAGAGAACACGGACCCTCTTCCCCAGGTGCTGGGCCCTCACACACCAGCGCTGGGCCGGACGGAGCTCACTCACTTTTGCTGCAACCCCACGGGTTGCTGGCATCCAAGTGGCTTGCGCCGGGAACACAAGTGTCACACGTTGAGCCGGTGACAAATCGTTTACAGAAACAGCGGCCCGTGACCAAGTGGCAGGTTTCATTCAAGGCTCCGGAGAGATGACAATTGCAAGGCTGACATCTGAAAACAAGAGAAGGAAACCGTCAAGCGTTCTGATTAATAATTCATGGCAGAAGGCACATACGTCTACGGATCACACTGTGGACTAATATGGTCTGGTTTAGCCAACAGGCAGAAAAGGATTCTTGAGTTAAACAAACCACCATGAAATAAAATGAAACAGAAAAAAAATCTTTTTATCGAAATGCTGTTTATGGTAAACCTCTATGAAGCCTTCTCCTTGGAAGCTAATTAATGGCAATAAAGAAGTGTTACTTTGCTTTCTTTCATGCCACAGTACATCTTATGGATTATTTTGAATCCAGTTGCTCAACTAATAATACTGTAAATTTTGCTTTCGCACAAAAGCAGTTCTCCTGACAGCTAAAAATTAAGATTATTAGGTCCCCTCCAAATTATCTTTTCAAGTATCTATCAAATTGTGAAACAGAAAACTGGATATGATAATCACTGTCTTCCCTAAACATCGTGAAATTCCGTATTTGGTTTTATAAAGACTACATTTCACTAAGAAGACAGGTGGAGGAAGACACATTCCAATACCGACGATGTGTGAATAAAAGTTGTATTTCCTTTTCTGTTGTATGCACTGAACTCACTTATCCAGATTGGTTGGAAAACAGAGCATTATCCTGATCTTTGAAAAGACGCTAATTAAATAAATATAATGAGAGAATTTCACTTCAACTCCGATTTCTTGCTCCGAAAGTTGCTTGTAAAAAAGAAAAAATCACTGTTGTCACATTTTTGCTACGACAGAAATGAAAACCTGTTTCTTCAAACTCTTAACCTGTGACAATGTCATGGGCGAGGATGAACAATTTGGATGCCAGGAAGTATTAGAAAAGCAGAAACGGTACCTGTGGGGAGACCCCCCGCGTTTACCAGGGACCTTGCATACGACACTCTTAATGAAAACATTATGGATCCACTCCACTTCCTCCTGAAGATGCTGGGTGGACGGTTCCTGTACTCGCTGCAACTTTAGGGTGTGATCTCTTGGGTAATCCTTCAACACCCTCAAAAAGGCTGATAAAAGCCGAGGCTGCTAAGTAAGCTGCAAATTTGTTTTATGGACTAAGTCACCTGGGGAATAAATAAGGCACAGTTTCTCTTGAAAAACCGCTGTCCTGTAGTTTGCCCTTCTTGTCGTGGTAAAAGGACATTTTTTTCCCCCTCCTACAAACAACTACATGAAGTCCTTTATGTACAGACATTGCATCAGAACTCCATTTCAAACCGGCGTTTTGTTTGGGCTACTCACGTATTAGAAAATTATGCACTGAAATTAAAATGGGATTCTAGAAGCGAAAAAAAAAACATATTTAATTTGCTCTTCATTTCATTATATGCTATCACTTAGAGTAAATTGTTTGTCGGCGTTTTATGTCACATTGGTGAGACGCAGCAATGAGCGCTATGCCTTCCCCAGCGCATGTATTTATCACCACTCCACTCCTGAATAAGTATCTCTTGAGTATTTCTGTTTTTATTACCATTCACTCATGAGACAATCACACTCATTTTATATACAGTACGTTTAGAGGAACCGTTTCCAGTGTATCCCATAATTCCTTTCCTTGATGTGGTTCTATTTTCTGCCAGCGACACGCTTAACTCTTAAGGCAGCTCTGTCACTATCCATGGGGTATTGTGTCCGGAATCTCAACGGAATAAATAAATCGCGTCTTCGGAAAGCGCGCAGGGTTGCGAGTAATTAAATGTGACTATTCCTGATTTTATAGTCTCTTATCCCAGCCCTTGTTGTATCTCACTTATCTGCCTGGTTATAATTGCTCGACTTCAGTCGGAGGGAGTTTTATGTGAATGGAGTTCACAGGAGACTTTCTGGATATGATCGTTTGTTTCCAGCCCGGAGGACACTGGGGATCATTTGGTAATTAAGGCTTAAGTAAAACGATTCCTGTGAATTTCTCAGCCGCTCAAATATGATTTTAAACATTTCCAAGACTCTTTAGCAAATAAGCTACAAGTCTGATGTCATTTTAGAAGTTACCACTCCCCTCCAGAGCGCCTCCTAAATGAAATATAGCTCACGTTTATTAAAACAGAATTAAACGTAATAAAGGAAAAGATGTTTTAAGCTCTGAACGAGGAACAGCAAACTCGGATGACTTGTGATATTGATTTTGTCAGGATAAATGGTTTCTGTAATATTAATATAAAGAAACCTTTATTACACTGACTCTCCTGGTGTAGCCAGAGCTCTCCCACAATCTGTTTAAAATCTTCATTTTTCATCCTTATGGGAGAACCTCACTTGCTAAATGGATTTCATAAAGAGTCATCTGTCAGGATGTATATGGATAAACAATTTGTGATGTTTATTGACCAGTTCATTATGGTAAACAAAGCAGGCGGAAGGCTTCGCTAAGCTCCGTGCGCTCTGCCCGGGGAGTGCTGTCTGGGCCTTGCTGTCCGCTGGGCACAATGGGGAAGAAGTTACTTGGCCTCTGTCTCTTAAATCACAAATCTCATCTATTTCACTTTCCCGCGGAACAAACAATGAAAGAGTTACCCTGCTCCATACTGCTGCAGAGGCATCACAATTAATGAGGGGAATTGCCAGGAACTTCGTCATCGGACGAAGAGCTCCGTTAGGAGGGCCGGGGACAGGTGCCAGGAAAAGATCGCTTTACTGGCACTGCTCTCCGGATGCCTCCCTTCTGTCTGGGGCCTCAACACCAGGGTACCATCGAATTGATTCAATGTATCGAGTGACATAAACACATTCATTGAGGGACAACTATAGGCTAGGGCTGGAAGAACACTGGAGTCGTAAATATGAAAAGACAGAGCTGGCCCTGACCTCAAGCAGCTCATGGTCTAGTGAGACATTAAAAAATAGAAAGGGTATTAATAAAGATGTAGGTAGATTCTTTTTGTGATGTTCTTTATTGATTTCAGAGAGGAAGGGAAAGGGAGAGAGAGAGAGAGACAGCAATGAAGAAAGCGAGTCATTGATGGGCTGCCTCCTGCACACACTGGGGATTGTGCCCACAACCCGGGCACATGCCCTGACCGGGAATCGAACCGTGACCTCCTGGTTCATAGGTGGATGCTCAACCACGGAGCCACGCCAGCCGGGCAATTCTTTAAGGGCACAGGAAATGCGCAACTCTCTAGCCTGGGGGCAGGGGAGGTGACAGAGAAAGGAGAATTGAGAAGAAATCTTGGAAATGTTTATGCTTAATAATTAAATCGGAATAAACCAGGCAAATCAAGGAGGGAGAAAAGAGAAGAGGACAGCAGGAGAGGGTATCAAATTGCAAGCAATTCAAGATTTTTGGAGACCAATTCGGAATGGGGAGCGAGTGGGGACAGACGGAGAGGGGAAGGTAAGGAGGGAGAAGATACTGCCAAATTAGTACAATTGTGAGAGTGGCGGGGAGCAATGGAAAGGAAGGGGTTAGACCTGAGAAGCATTTGGGATGAGGTGGAAAACCTAAAAGGAGAAGCAGAGAAGGGCCTGGGAGAAGGGCCTGGAGTTGCTCCCCGTTTTCTCATTTGCTGACGGTCGGATGAAAGGGACACCATTCAGCACCAAGAACAAAGGGCGAAGAGACTTCAAATGACTGAGAAATTCTAGACAAGAATTACTAATGATCATTAATGAATAGAACAGAAAGCGGCATTAAGGCAAATTGGAGAAATCGGACAAAGGCTTTTCTTCCATCCCTAGTCCACAAACTGGCACTCAATGTGGCTCAATGCATTTTGTTGAATAAATGACCATGTAGCTGTTTTGAGCCCTTTTTGACTGTCCCCCTGGCTAACTCTCCTCCAAGACTGGCTTTCCTTGACTCCCTCAGGCCAGGGGAGTTCTCAGTTGAGTCCTCTGGCACAGATCCCGGGAGAGCTAGAGCGCCCCCTAGAGGACTTGGTTTCCCCGGGGTAAGATTCTCTTTCATTTCTGCAATGGAGGTGCTCAGTATTCCTTCTTCACAGCCTAACAGCACCCGGATTCTCTTGGCATTGGAATGAGGAATTTGGGGCTTAGAGACCTTCTTTGTGTGATCTGAAAGCCATACTCACATGGCCTGGGACTTGCTTTGGCCAAGAAGATGAGGCAAAAATAACACCATGGCAGCTCCAGGCAGAGGCCTCACGTGTCCTTGCACGCTTCTGCTGTCTTTGTGGGGACGCTGCCACCACCAGCCGGGGCCCATTTACCCCATCACCCACATCATAGGACACTGTCCAAGAGTCACTGGGGGGCATGAATCTGTGAGAAACCCCCCACCCCAATGATCCCTGGACCACACCATCCCTGGACCCACGTAGTAGAGGGAAGGAAATACGTGGACATGAAAATGATCCACTTCCACCCACGGGAAGTCACTGGTCTGGTTCTCAGAGAAAAATCCAATCAACAGCCAGTGGAATAGATGCATGTGAAGGGGCGACCGGACCCAATCCATAAAGTCGTGTTCACGTGGAGAAAGTTGGCAGCAAAACTAACAATGATCTGGTCACAGAAAAAAAAGTGAACGTATTGCATGTTTTAGAAGTCGGAGCCTTTAGATTCCCTCCCCAGCCTAGACCCCAACTCCCCACTCTCTGAGGAAAATTACAGTTTTGTTGTATGTCTGCTGGGAAGAGACAGGAGTGATACATGTGGCCATTTGAAGCTTTAAAAAAAAGACAAAATACAACTAATTAAGAGAGAGAAGAAGTCAGCAGGGAGGAAACCTTTAGGGGTTGTGATGAGTGGATGACATACAAGAAAAACGGTGGTGGAGCAGATAAACGGTAAGTCCCAGGGGTGGTGGGAAGGGGAATCCTAGTTACAGGTCAACTTGGGGACAGCGCCCGGGACTGCCCTGTCACATATGCGTATTAACTACCCACAGGGACGAGAGGAAGATGGCCCATTTTTGTCTCATTGTGTTTGGTTTCGACAAACACCATATCCTTTTTTTTTTTTTTTTGCTTTATTGATTTTTCAGTGGACAGACTTTTTTTTTCTTCATTGTTCTCGGTACTGATTGAATCCGGTTTGCTTTATGTGTCAGAGGTAAATGAGGCGATTTCTGCACTTGGGTCGGCTTTTTAAAACGCACGCCCCTTTCCTGTCGTAGGGGAAGAAGTAGGCGGAAGGAGCAGGAACCGCCTGGTGAGGATAGGTGGGTGGTTTTCCTGCTTGTTACTGTTGCTTTGGGGGCATTTTTGTTGTTGCTGCAGCTTAGGAGCAGAGTCTACTTTTTAAATTTATTTTGCCTTTTGGAGTATAAAAAAAGTTAAAACTCGGGAAGTACAGTGGTGTACATTAAAGAGAACGTGGAGAAGGGAAGGGATATAAGTAAATTTCCTGGAGGATTAAATAAGACCCCCCCCCCAATATGAATGGAAAAAGCAGATGAGAAAGTCCATTTCTTTTCCGAACCGATTAAGGGATACTTGTATCTTCTCCTTGCTTGACAATAAAATACTTATAATCCATTGTAGAATTTTGAAAATTAATGAAATAAATTCATACCTGTTAAGCACCTACCACAGTACCTGATTCGAGGTGTATTCAATTGATTTTTAGCTCATTGCCTTTCTTTTTTTGAAAAAAAGTTTCACATCAGGGCATAAATGGATATTTTTCCTATACTGCATATCTGTATACATTGAGACAATGAATTTTTCTCTTCAGGAAACAAAAATTCTTTATACTAGATGGAATCCCATATATTTTAGCCATCTTCGTACATATTTTCAAAATAGCCATTGTTAGTATATATTCACAATAGCAACCAGAAGTCATCAAAGAGACTTCAGTATCATTCAGGAAGGGAATGAAAATCATAAAAAGAATAAAATCCATTTGTATCTCTTCTCAATGATGAGCAAAAGCATCAAGCCAAGCGATTCTCACTGTCACATTTGGAAATGTCTTTCCCTGTGACCTTCTGGGCCAGAGGATTTCTTCTCTGAGGATTATCAGTGTCACAGCGGAAAGCGACAGCAGCATCCATCAGTGGCAGAGAAGGGTCAGCTCCCGGCACAGCCATTCCCTGTGACCGACCGCACCGGAGACACGTCCTCCTGATTGTCTCGGGCCCCCCCATGGTCTTGGGGGGCTTTATTCTTGCTGTTCTTTTCAGAGACGCTACATTATATATGGTGGCTCTTTTCAGGGGCAGCCACGGTCCAACATCAGAGCCAGCCCGCCTGATCTGAGGGCATCCGGAGCCCACGCACAGGTGGGCGGTGGGGACCTGAACAGCAACTTTAAGGTGTATGTCCCTCTTACCTGAGATGGCATGAGACTTTTAATTTCTACTTTTGTAGGAGGCGAGGCAAATAATGTCAAAAATTAGTTCTGTGTTGGCTCTATTTAAGAACGGAGGCATGAGGGACATTTAAATTTAAAACTCAGAAAGAGGGCTAGCCATTGGCCTGGAGGCCATGGTAGAGATCTGAACAGATAACACTCTGAGAGTCATTAACATGCATGTATTGAGGTGAAATCATACACCTGCGTATGTACTTTGAAGGGGCACAATAAACAGGAGTGATCAGCATCAGAGATAGAAAAACAAATCACAGGAGTAAGAGCTTGCAAGTCAAAGGAAGAGTTAATTTTTAAGAAACACGGTGGACCATAAAATGATTGGCACATTGGAAAACCATGAGTCCTAAGAAGCAACCACAAATCAATTTTACTTTCATCTCTCAAGGATCCTTTAAATGTACGGCCCCTGCCTGTCACATGGCTACAAAGTGAATCAGGAACATGGCCTTTCTGGTCTTTCTTAACTTATAGGAAGTCCTACAGTTATTTTAAATTGCAAAGCACAGGTTATACAAAAAGAACAATACTAGGGGCATCACGCTTCTTGATTTCAAAATACATTACAAAGCTGTAATACTGGAAACAGTATGGTACAGGGCAAGGAGGGGTGTGTAGGTCTCACAATCAGATGAGGACCACGAGGAAGAGATACAGCATGGTGCTGCCTTAGCGCCTGTAAAAAGGGTGACCCCAAGGCTAAGGGGGCCTGAATAGAGAAAATGCTGGGGTTCCTGTGGGTTGCAAAACTAATTAGCAACCAACCAGAAAAGCGATGCATGTGACTACGCTTAAGCTGTAGGTGAGAGAAACTGAGGGACAGAGATCAGAGATCAATGCGGAATGCATGACAGTACCAACAACCTCAGTGAAAAGTCAGCTTGCACATGTGTGAGACCAGCAACAGCAGCCTGCTTTGGGGTGTCAGTCCAGTGAATCCCTGCCCCCCACCCCAGCCAGTGCATGAGAGAAGAGGCACATAATAGAAAGAGCAGTAATGCTCTTAGACACTCGATCTTAGCCAAAATGCAGAGAAGAGAGAATTATGCTCTCAGACTAACAGAACGATATACCAATGGTAACTGAAGTGCAGCAGCAGGGGTTAAAAATGCTGTGTAGTAAGAACAAAAAATTGTTTTAATAAATATTTTAAATATCATAGAAAAGTGTTTTATTTTTAATTAAGCATATTGGATTTTAGTAAAAAGCCAAATAAACTGGTTTGAGTTCTCTTTTAGTAATTTAACCTGTCACCCTGTCCACACTCTAATCGAGGTGTTAATGAAGAGTGTAAGGGCCAAAGGCAGACAGTGGGGACAGTGTGTTGAAAAGAGCCCAATAATCTCAAACCCTTGAATAATTACCAATTATAATTATAAACACACACACACACACACACACACACACACACACACACGGAGAAACAGATTTGACTGGTTTATGAGAAACACATACTAGTTGCTTGGAGACAGGAACACCAAAGAATTAATGGATATACTCCCAACCCAAGATAAATTTATAAACTAACCTGGAGAAAAAGAAACCCACACGGAATTAGCATTCCAGCTCATCTTCACAAATACAGCAATGACCACAAATGCATGAAAGTAAATGCCCACAGATATACAGGAAATGGGAAGAACATTAAAGACGGTGTAACTCTGAAAAGTGATTAATTTATTTTCAGAATGTTATTTATACACCGGGGGAAATCATATCACTGAATATAAAGATAAGTTTCTTATCTGCCAGTCTTTCATTCTAAATTAGAAAGGGAAGGGCAACATAAATGGGTGTAGTAAATTAATAAGTAAGCAATAAATTCGGGGGCCACATAAAACAAAATATAGATATACATGTTACCTATTCTAGCCCTTATATTGTGTGTGTGTGTGTTTCCTTCTAGGGATATTTCTTTACCTGTCTTTATCCACATTCAAACTGTAAGTTCTTTGAGGGAAAAGGATTTTATCAAGTTAAATATCCCAGGCCCTAATATTGGGTATATCTATCAATGTATGACAACCTACTAATATATATTGGGACTCTAGGAAATATTGAAGAATTACCATTATGTCTAATAAACGCTGGCATCAAAGAATCAAAAATATATCAATCAACTAAGCAGGACAGAAAACACTGCATTTTACAAAAGATACTGCCAAAAAAGATCACTGTTGGTTATAAAAAAGTCATTGTACATATAATTAAATAAAAATATTTAATTATTAACTCTCATAAATATTTACCTCCCAATCTGAGGATCAAATCCAAAGTAAAGGTCCCTACAACGGTCACAACTTAGCCCAGCGGTGGAAGCATCTTGGCAAACACACTGGCCGGTTCGGCTGTTACAGATGTGATGAGCTGCCCCAGCTGTGTGGCAGGAACAGGGCAGGCAGCCAGTGGCATTGCCCGGAGAGATATAAAAGCCTGGAATAAAAAAGTGAAGAGATTTTATATATGCTTCCTAGCCAGTCTTTTCTTTAAATGATCATATTTTGACTACATCAAAACACAGAACACTCTGTAGGGGCACTAAATGAATTCCCAGTACAAATGTGCGTATAGCTGTGCTTAGCTCTTGTGTCAATTATCACCAAAGCGAGGCTGAGTCGGTGATTGGCATTGTACCTGCTATCTTTGTACCCAGGCAACTAAAACTCAGTGCATTGAAAACCTACTTCATGGCCTTCCTTTAATCATCTTCATTTTAACAAATGGCCTTGCCATCTCTTTAGATACTCAACCTAGAACCCTGAAACATCCTAGCTAGGAGAGCCAATAGAATACAAGGTGCCCAGTTAAATTTGAATTCCTAATGAACAATGACTTTTTTAGTAAAAGTATGTTCCATCTGATATTTGCTTATATTAAAAAATTACCTGAAATTCATGAAAGAAGGTGAATAGATTAGCCAAAGAACATGTATGCATAACCCACAGATAACAGTGGGGTGAAGGCCAGAGGGGAACAGGGGCTGGATGGAGGTGGGCAAAGTGGGGGGAAATGGGGACACTGTAATAGTGTCAACAATAAAAATAAAGTTTAAAATATCTGAAATACTGTATTTTTGTTTAAACTGGCAACTAGCTTGTGTCCTTCACTTGCCCTGGCTTCATGTAGCTAATTGTCATGTCAATGGGTCTTGTCTTCTAAGAATTTTACTCTACTTTCCACCTGTTATCACCTCCCTAGTTAAAGTCACTACCAAGTTTTTCAGAGTTAACACTGTATCCCAGAGGCATGGTAAGAGCTTTATATTCATGACCTCAATTGGTTCTCTCAGCAATGCTACTAATTCAGGCATTATTATTTTATCTGTTATATAAATCATAAAACTGGAGGTAAGAAAGATTAACAAACTTTCCTAAAATGATAGCATTAACAAACAGCAGAATCCGGACTTGAACCCAGGCATCTCAGCTTGAGGTTACCTCATCCAATGGTATTTTTCCTGTTCCCTTCAGTCTATTCTTCATATTGTAGCTGGAACAGCCTTTTTCCGAGTATAATTTCAACATTTCATTCCTCTATTTAAAAAAATTTAATGACTTTCTATTTCTTTAGGAATAAAATACCAAAATCCCTAACATGGACTTTAATCCTCCATGCAGGTCCCACCTCTGTCTCCAGCTTCAGTTCACTGCTCATCACTAGCTCAGTCTGCCCCATGCTTCCTTCTTCTCTTGATACCTCACAGCCTTTTCCAGGGGGTTCTTTCTGCTGCAATGACTTTGACCCCCTTTTCTGTTTAGCTCATGCCTACACACAACAGGTCTTGTGACTTCCTTGAGGAACCTAACCTATGCCAGCTTAGGCATGCCGTCACAACTTCATAGCATCCTATTTATTTCCTTTGGAATCTCATGAAAATTATAATCTCATTTCCACCAGATTGTTTTCTCCATGAAGGCAGGAACCACAATGGATTAGCTCATCTCTGTCTCCTCAGCATCCAGTACAGTGTTTGTCACAAAGTAGGCAAAAATGTACCCAATTATTATTTTTTTATTAATGTTTTTATTGATTTTAGAGAGGAAGGGAGAGGATGAGACAGATAGAAACATCAATGATGAGAGGGAATCATTGATCGGCTGCCTCCTGCACGCCCCCTATTGGGGATCGAGCCCGAAACCCGGGCATGTGCCCTTTGCCGGAATCGAACCCGGGACCCTTCAGTCCACAGGCTGACACTCTATCCACTGAGCCAAACCAGCTAGGGCAATACCCAATTATTAAAAGAGGCATTAATTCCCACAAGTACTATATTTTTAATCCCACATAATTTAAATTAAGTATACATCTATTTTTATTATAGCAAAAAAAGAAAGAAAAATAGGATTCAAAAATATTTTCAAGCTACTTCAAATGTCTTGGACCTAGAAGGTGGAAGTCCACAGTTATAAAATTAAAAGGGAACTGGGCATTTAAATGATGGAGTAGGCAAATGAAAGAGAAACCACTCTTGGTGCTGATATGTGTGTTTGTGCATGTATATGCATATGTACATACATATGTGCACATATACACGCACACAAGTACATGCATGATATTAAGAAATTTTGATGAAAAAATGGGGGGAGGGATTGCAGAGGGATTCTAACGAATAAAGTTCTGGCAAGTGAAAAGGAATTGACAATTGTCATGGTCACGCATTTAAAGATACAAAATATCAATGAGAGAGAGAGAGAGAGAGAGAGAGAAGAGAGAAAGAATGCGCATTGAGTGAATCCACACTGTGTTACCTATTCTTGAGGGAAGAACAAAAGGTGATTGCAACACTGCAAGACTCATTTAAGGCTCTCGTTGAGAATAGCCATTCTTTCACAGCCATCACCAATGGGCTTATCTTCTAGTCCCTGCATAGTCTCTCTTACAAAGCTTCGGGAACAGTAAAATAGAAAAGTTTGAGCTCAAGGAGAATGAAAAATGAAGCTCCAAATATGTGCCATTCAGTTGGAAAGAACAAATACTGTCACTTTCATTGTCATTTACAACTAGACTATGTCATTTGCTTCTTTGCATCTATGACAGCAATTCTCTTTATACATATGCATTTTTCCAGAAATAACACATGGCCATGCCAATTAATGTGTATACTCACATCTGATTTATCATGTGACCAAAGTCACAAATTTGGGAGACTTTGATTTTTGGATTCAGGATCACTGTGGCTGTGATTCTGTGTACTTTTCTTCCTGTGAAGGTGCCCAGGTCCTTAAATCCATGATGATAGCATCATGAATGTACTAACAGCTCTCCAATTTGGATAAATTGCACATTAGCAGAGATACTTAGAAGCAGAATTAACTTAGACTTATTGCAATAGCTTTGAGCCACAGAGAATTCTAGAACGATTAAGGATAATTTTTATAAGAAATGATTTATTAGATAACTCTGTAAGGACCAGGAGGGTCCATTTTGGTGCAGAAGATTGGGATGCCCATGTTTTGGAGAATAAAGAGCGCCTTAGGAAAAAACAGAGACAGCACGCAGAGAAGAACAAAAAAGGTATTAAAACACCTCAGGGGGCTGCAACCTGGAGGTAGAGCTTCAAGGAAAAGATTACATTGGAATTGTCGGGGGTTAATTCCCCTCCTCCTCTCAGGAGCATGATTATAGAGGCTAATCCCACCAGTATTTCAGTTGTCCCATTTTTAAGCAGTTCTAATTAGGATGACTCAGGTACCTTCCTGTCCAATGAGTACCTCTTGCCTTACCGGAACAGACCATTACCTTTCCCTTTATGACTTCTCACTGTAGAAAACACCATTTCCCCTCCCCTCCTCCCTCAGCTTCAACTCCTGGGTGCAGCTCAAAGATAACTGACCTTAATGTCTCGCCTTGAACTCAATGCGTTTCTGATCTCCCGCCATTAGCTCCACTTTATGTTCCCCATCTTTGTGTCTGTGTCGTTTTCACTGATCTCTCTGAGATTTCTCTCCACGAGCGATTCTGTGCCGCATACTTAACACGAAGCCCAGGCGTTAGGCCAATGCCATTCCCTTATACCTTGCGCAGTGCTGCGAGTGTACATGTCTATGGCACACATCAGCCTGCTGGAGGTTATTATCGTCCCCAGTTTTATTTCAGCTAACCCCTGGTCCCAAGCAAGACTAGTCTCCTGTGGGAAACAATGTGTTTTGCAGCTAAAGCAAAAAAGTCACCCGGATCATAAAATCCCGTTGCTTTATCTTGGAGAAGGTTTACGGAATGCTTCGAGTTCAAAGTTATTAGCCAGACAGCCGGTATTATCTCCTGTCGTGGCTATTTGCACAACACAGTACCTGTCCTGGGCATAAAAGAAGAGCCCATTTCCTGGCAATGTTCCTCCCGAGGACCATGAACAACTAGGCTTTACCGAGGTCTTAAAATGGGAGAAAGAAAACAAGTTTAACCTCTAGGCCTTATTCCAAAAAGGAGGGCAGAGCCGAGGCTAAGCGCTAATTATAAGCCATTTAGAAGTAACGACTCTCAGCATAAGCCAGAGAATGGACACAATATTAAGGGAAGAGTCTACGGAGGAATTTGTGGCTCCCCTATGTCAGGTAACAAAAGACCAACTTAGATATGGTTTTACAAATCAATATTTTCAGAATAAAGTAGCATAGATGATGCTAATCTTCACATTAAGGCAGTAATAATTTTCTTCCATTTGGTAGTTTTATATAAAAATAATGCTAGTCTGGCCCAGCTGGTGTTGCTCAATGGTTGAGCATTGACCTAGGAACCAAGAGGTCAAGGTTCAATTCCTGGTCAAGGCACATGCCCTGGTTGTGGGCTCGATCCCCAGTGTGGGGCATGCAGGAGGCAGCTGATCAATGATTCTCTCTTATCATTGATGTTTCTCTCTCTCCCCCCCTCACCTTTCCTCTATCTCTAAAAAAATCAATAAAAACATTTAAGAAAATAAAAATGCTAAAATTACTCATAGACTTGACCAAACATCAATAAATGCATAAATATATCATATCATTCATTACAAGGTATAATTTCTGTTATTGAAAAGATTTTTCTAAACTCCTTTTCAAATAGTTTAAATACACTTTTTGAATGCTCTGCTCCCCTTTTTTCTTCCTGTTTGGCTGTACTCTCCTTGAGTATCTTACCAACCTCTCTTTGCTATCAAACTCAGCTCAGAAATCACTTTCTTGTCTAAGCTCTCTATATCCCCCATCCTTGAAGAATTAATCAGTCTGTTTCCTTTTCTATCCTTTTCTAGTTCTTTATATTGTACATTTCTAATATTGTAGTAATCACACTGTTGTATTTACGTACAAGTCAGTTTCCCCTACTAAACCACAGACCTTTATACAACCGTAAGTTTAATATATTTCTGACTGTATATCTTACATCAGCATACAGCATCCTCCCTGGTATGGAGTAATGTATCCAAAAGATTGTTTATCCAAAAACAAGAATATGTGAGTGAAATGGATGGAAGGCTGAATGGATGGGTGGGTAGATGGATGGATGAATATCCGTGACCTCTTAAAATCTGAGATGGCCTGCAGGCCGGTGCTCTATCCACTGAGCACACCAGCTAGGGTAGGCATTACTTTCTAATAGTCTGTATGAATCATAAAGAATCATAAAACAAAAGCAAAACTAAACACCAGAGCAAAGCATGAGGAACGGTCCCATTAGCACACAGCGTGTCATGTGGAGCTGTTTCCATTATAAATTAGCCTTTATTTTATTCCGAAGCTGCAGAGTCCTCGGTAAACCCTCGCTGCCTCTGGTTCCAAGGACACGGGCGGGTCACGGCGGGTGCCATCCTTCCCCGGCTACCCCGGCCTGGCCTCTGACTAAGTGCCTGCAGCGGCACGCGACGAGGTCACCCGGCACGGGAACGCGCGCCGGGAACGCATCCTTAGTGCCATATTTATTAGCGTGGGGATGTGTACATTCATATATGTACACACACTCCAAATAATTTTAAATTAAAGCATTTTTAAAATACTTAATGGAGGTTAAGCTGCATTTTTAACCTCTGCTCAAGTTATTGAATGGCATATTAAAACCAATGGGGCTCTAATGTACCTTCTAATGCGCGCTGCTGCTTTAACAAATTGCCTATAAATTTTAGTTGAATTAAGCCTCTTCCTTGTACATCCCCGTAAGGTTAGGTGAATAATACATGAGGCTTCATTACATACACCTTCTTTAATAATGTTTTTTAAGAAAGGGGGACAGGAATCTATGTGCAGCCGTCTACTGCAGGCCAGTAATATTTACAATTACGGATGAAAGAGGCAGGCAGGAGTCCTCAGCCTGGCCAGTTCACACCCCCCACGCCCCACTGCTCACACACAGCAGCCTGGTGTCCCTCGGCCCCCCATAGTAAGTGACTGGTCTCTCCGATGTGTTTAAAGACACAGAATGAAAGCTTCCAGCCGTGCGTTTTAGTGTGCCTACTGCAGAGCTGGCTCCTTGAAGCGCCTGCTTATGATAAAGATACTTCAAGATAAGGGTGTTCTCTTTGTCCATGTAAATTTAACAGTAAGAGATAAATTTGACATACTTCCTGAAGCTATAAGAATGCAGGACCAGAAACAAAACAAAACAAAAAACAAAAACAAAGAAATATTGCCCAGCATACTCAGTGGTTAGTGTCGGCCCTTGCAATCGATCCAGGTGTCTTACATTGATGTTTCTCTCTTTCTCTCTCTCTCTCCTCTCTTCCCTCCTTCCTTTCCACTCTCTTCAGTTCAAGTTGAGAAATTAAGTACCAGTAAGACTCAATTCTGAAATGTCATTGGCTGGCATTCATCTAAAGGGTCAGACAAACATGCCACATGATCTTGAGTAGACTGAGCACTTGTATCTGTGCCGCATAAAGATATAAACTCAACGCTGACGCTGTGGGGTAAATTTTTAGAGGCCTCAACGGAGTAAGAAAGAGGAATGGCCCGGTATGGAATAAAGAAGGAAAGGTCACGGCGCCCTGAGAAGGCAGCACAATTCCCTCCTACCTGGTTGACACTGGTCACACCTTCTTCCTTGACGGTTAGGCAAACACCGGCACCGGCCACTACTTGGGTCACACGTGGTCCCGGGTAACGTCCCCGCGGAGTCGCACTCGCACGCCCGGCAGCCTTGGAAGGCGCCCGCGGTCAGGTTGTACCTGTGAGGCTGGCACTGGCTGCAGCGGAGACCTGTTACTCCTGATTTGCACGGACACTGTCCTGTTGATTTGTCACACAGCACAGAGCCATTTACTGTCCCCGTCTTATCACAGTCACAGGGCAGGCAGAGGAAAGAGTTATTCTGCTGGAGGTAGAAGGACCCCTCCAAACATCCATCACACTGCCTCCCTCCAACGCGGGGCTTGCAGCGGCACTGCCCTGTCCCAGTGTCACAGACCGTCCCGGGCAGGGACCCCGCGGGGTCACAGGCGCAGGCCTTGCAACCAGTGACGTCCAGCCCGTAGAAGTGCTCCCGGCAGGTGTCACACCGGAGTCCGCTGGCCTCTGCCTTGCACTCACACTGCCCCGACAGAGGGTCGCAGCGTTTGCTCGCTGAGCCGAAGGGGTTACACCGGCAGGGCTCACACCCACCATCATGGAAACTCCGGAGGAATTTAAATCCAAAACTGCAACGATCGCATCGGAGCCCTAGAGGTGGAATTTGTTTTAAAAAAAGAGGAAAATGTGAAAATGATGCTAGCATGCTTTCAAGGTAGCTGAAGCCCAAACAATGGTAACGCTGACATTTCACGCACACACAAATGTTGGGCGATTTCTCACAAGTAATGCAATGGAGGGCTAGTCACGGACTCCAAATAGGATGGCGATACTTAATCTGGTGACGATGCAACTTTGATTTTGTATGGTGCTTTGTTAACTTTTACTTGTATATTGCTTAATGCAAAAAGAAATGCTCAATGCAAACGTCACTCTATTACACATACCAGAACTCTTCTCTTTAGTGAATATTAAAACTATTATTTTAAAACTAAAAGCTATGTTAAAACCATCATTTTTACTTATTTTATATTAACAAAGCATGCTCATTTAAAATGTACAATAGAAGGGGAAATGCATTTCCAAAGTCATAAAGAAGAACAGCATAGTTATTTTCCTAGAAATCAGAACCCCCTAAAAATGTTGAGTTGATAACTATTTTGGTGATAACAGGATATATATACTTACTCCTAAATATCACACATTTCAATAATTAATATAAATAAAACTTATCCAGAGCAATTTTTATTTCAATGCCTTTATATGCTCCTATATTTTATCACTTTCAATTAAAATAAATTATGCTCTCCTTGGCTCATAAAGCAATCACATTGCTTGTCATATTGTATGATTCAGAACATACCTCTTTAAACACTAAATAAATTCTGTTTAGATTACTCCTATTTAAAGAAGTACATATATACATTTCACAAACAGGGGAAAAACGTTTTAGCAACTACACTTAAATCTCTGACAACTTAGGTTACTTTTAAATAAAAGACTATTACACGGCAAAATAATAAAAACATTGTTAAATAGTAAACATTGAGACGCAAAATACTTTCTTTAGATAGCTTTCACCTATCCATGAATTTAAATAACAGACTCTGTGGGGCTGAATCAATTGAAACATTTATTTTAAGCTTTAGTAGCAATAAAAAAAATTAGTACTAAAATAACAGTCAAAAACACACTCAGGAACTCATATGTAGAAAAGCATTTCCTGAGCAGGAAGGAGATGCATAATATATATGTATATGTATGAATAAAAATTCAAGAACTCCAATGGAAGGCGAGTTCTTTAACAGTGATGAATGACTCACCTAAGGCATATCATTTAATTTCAATAAGGAAAATAAAAAAGGGCCACTATTGCTGCAAATTTTAAAAATAACTGTATTGTTAACAAGAATTATGACTCATTTTGAACTATTAAAATTGGTCTACATGGATTCATATCATATCAGTTTTAAAAATATGCGCAGTGCTTATTTGAATATGCCATACATATTCCTGACAGGTAATCTATTCCTAACGATACTTGGGAAGGCCTACAGGGCATCACATTCGGTGTTAACAAGTACAGGCGAGTTAGCACACTTGGCATTTAATTCACATTCTTCTCCCTTTTTATTCTAGATGAATGACCTACTTTAATAAAATTATTGGTGCTAATGTATTTTACTGGTGATAGAATCATTAGTGAGATTTAACAGTTTTGTTAACTCTAACAGTTTGCTTTCCAAAGCATATACAACACACACTTGTATTTTCTGTTTTTTTTTGCGTGTGTTTTTTTTTTTTTATTATTAACAAGGTAAAATTGAATAAGGTTACTTATTAATTCCCCTTAGGAAAAAAATTATGCATATGGAGTTTATATTTTTATTAAACTTACTAAATGTGCAGAAATAACTTTAGAAATACTATCAAAATGGTGATTTCATCTTCAAATACATATACTTATATAGATTTACTTATATATTTATATTTTCCTGCAGAAAACTATCTCGATCAACCAGTAAAATAGGTAAATAGTAGGAAGGTCATAACAAATTCTAAGTAAATAGTAAATTTTGATTTTTTTCTTCCTTAAGCTCTAGAACCTAACCACCACGAGAAAGACTCCATTGTATAGAGAAATAACTATTTCATTGTCTTTAAAGGCCTTTCTTGAAGTTTCGTTTTCACATTTTGAATTTAAAATATATCTCACGTTAAAGAACAGAGGATGCCGTACAGATGAATTGAAAGGTCTTAGAATTCCTCCAGCATCCCAGGTAACGCTTACACAAAGTGTGCTTCCCTGTACAAGTTGTTTATCCAGCTTCTCTGGAGTTAGTTTCTGTATGTTTGAAGTGCATAAGGGCTAGTTACATTAACATTCTGATATAATATTTCTCTAAACCAGATAAGCCTAGTGTCATACCATTAAACACGCCCATATTCTCTTTTATTAAATTAAAATGAAATGCTTATCTAGCTGAATTAATAAAATGATGTATTTATATCTATATAAAAATCCATTTTAGTGTTACATAACAAATGAAATTATTATTCAGAATGCTATGTTCATATGTTTGTGTGTACATATGTGTGTGTGTGTGTGTGTGAGAGAGAGAGAGAGAGAGACTGTTAGGCATGATTTTATTATTCTTAGGTTCAGGTCAATGTTAGAAAAATGATGGAAGACTTGAATGACAATAGAAAGGCAAAGGTCTTTTTTAAACTTCCTATATGAACTGAGACATGTTCAGTTACAATATAAGACTCACTTCATCAGGAAACTTTCCGCACATAATATTCTCATATATCAAAATTTCAAAGTGCATTATGTGCACAGCGTATTTTGGGCACTTGATAAATTTTGTCCTTATGTGGCTGTGGTTCCCCTCAAAAATGTTGGATGTAATAAATTGCTATAATCAAATCTAATTTCTGAAAAATACCTGTGGGAGTAACAAACAAAAAAGCACGTCTCGTATAAAAAAATGATAAATAACACTGACGGTGGCTGTTTATTATAATCAGCTTGGCACTGAATTACAAAATTAAAATTATGTGGCCCTTTATAACTAACCCTAGCAATATACATGATCTGTGGAGTTATGTTGACTTATTTTGCATTTCATAGGAACAGTTCAAAGAAATATAATAGGAAAATATGGAAAGATTTATCACAAAGGACCCTGTAGCACAGAATATTTTGAAAAAAATCCATTTATTTTGGTCTATTAAGAAAACTAGCAGGGAAATCATTTGCTTAGAACTCATTAAGTAGAAACCATTTTGAAAAAGTGTTAATTTTCTGAAAGAAACATCTATGCGGTAAGCAAATTATATTTTTCTATGACTTATTAGTATGGGACCATGTGAAGTACAGCGGCTACCGACTCCAGAAACTTCTAAAGGGTTGATTAAAGGAAGCTTCCAGCGGAAGTTTGATAGAATTATTAATTCAATCATTTTAGACAGTTAATTTCGTTCAGATTGTGTTTTTTCCCCCCTTTTTCCAGCCTGCCTTGAGCAAGGAGATTTGCTTTACTCTTCCGTTAAGAAATCAAATAGAGGATTTTATTCCAGATGGCAATGGAGATGTGACTGAAACGCCTGCGTTACACATACCAATAACATTTGCTTTGCACGTGCACTGGCCTGAATGTGGGTGACAGGTAACATCTCCATCCTCGGTCCCGGAGGTATTGCAGTTGCAAGGCCTACAGCCGTCAGGATCCAGCTCGTGCAGGTTGAAGAACCCATCCTGGCACTGATTGCACCTCCTGCCAGAAGCGCGTCGCTTACAATCACACTGGCCTCCCATCTAGGGAAGATACAATATTTTGTAGGATGATGAACGTATCTATTTTTAGATCATTTGCTCATTAGGTACAAGGTGGGGATGGAGGGAGAAAAAAATTTTAAATGTTAGATAGACAAGAAGGTAAGAAGGTGTGTGTGTGTGTGTGTCCCCCACCCCCCGTCCGCCCCCGCCCCCGCCACAAAAACATAGGACGCCTCAGCAGGGTGAATATATGGAACCGGATGAAAATAAACCCTGTAGAAGTCAGTAGTAGGTGGCTAAAAGGGAACCGTGGAATTAAGCACTGAGCACCCCATAAAGAAATCCAAATGTGGTCAGTCACGTGGAGACCGAAATAGAGAAGAGACAGCAGTTAATTTAGTCTTTACAACTCGACCTCTCTGTTCCGTGCCTCTCATTTGCTGTCTCGTTCATCTAAGCTTGTTTTACACACACAAGATGCTTAATTTAAGGGAAGATCTTGCTCTACTAATAGTATCCCTTCAAGGTTTCAACAACCTTAAAATAAAGGTCTTTGTTAATAGTGTCATTTTGTACGGAACATTTTTTTTTTTTACACAATCCTGCTTTTAGGGATGTTTCAGCATTTTTATGGTTCATTTGTTGTATGCCTTAATCACATTCAGTACATTTAGATTATTTACATTGTGGTCAAAAGATGTGAAAAAGTTAAATGCTTTAGAGCAGGGGTCCTCAAACTTTTTAAACAGGGGGCCAGTTCACTGTCCCTCAGCCGTTGGAGGGCCGGACTACAGTTTAAAAAAAAACTATGAACAAATTCCTATGCACACTGCATATATCTTATTTTGAAGTAAAAAAACAAAACGGGAACAAATACAATATTTGTATTTGCATGTGGCCCACGGGTCGTAGTTTGAGGATCCCTGCTTTAGAGTACTGCCAGGTAAAACTGTATTTGTTCTTCTTTGGGCTGCTCATTTGAGAATGAACATACATAAAAAAAGAGTGTGCAGTCCAGTTCGGAGGTGTTTTCTCATTTCATTATAGACTAGAACAGCCAACGGGGATTCATCAGACATTCGTGCACAATTCCAACTTGAAAACAGGGACAAGAATGAAGGAAGAAGCCACATTACAATGTAAGCTCCACAGCAGCAGCAGTTTTAGTCACGTTACCATTTATGAAATGCCCGACTCCTCACTTCACTGAAGAGGAAACCAAACCTTAGAAAGATCATGTTACTTACTCGGGGCCAGACAGCTGTAAGTGGCATAACTTCCAAATCCATGTTCATAACCACCACGCTACGTTCACTCTGTTTGGTGTAAACTACTAATCGGACAGCAAGGGGACAAGCGCTCGTCCCCAGGAAGGTCGAGGCGGTGGTCTATCTCTGTGGGACGCTGGATGCAGATGGAAGAATCAGCCACTCAGTCCAGTTACTGCTTACTGACTTTCTGTGAATAGCACTGACGCTGGCTAGCGGTGGCTATAGATCACCTTGTGATCACACTCAGGGCCTCGCCATTTCCGACCATCCTGAAAAAGTCTACCGTCCCAGGCATGCGGCCATGGTGGGTTCGCACAGTCAACTGTGTAACGACTGAAACAATGAGGCTGGCGGGGACATCAGTGGCAAGAGCAAAGAGTAGGATTCTGCAGTGATCATTCGAGTCAGCTTTCTTAACTACCCTCCACATTAAGAGATGGAATTCTTTCAGGGTGAAATCAAGACATCGAATAATCCATACAGGATCATTGTGTGTGTGTGTATGTGTGAGAACACCGCTTCTGTGTTTAAAAAATATGAGGCATGATTTAAAGGTCAATACTAGTAAATAGGTGAACACAGAGGTTCTCTATGTAACAGACACCAAACTGTAAGTAATTTAAAGCAACATTTGAAAAAGAGCAGAACCACGTGCCTTCCTAAGCACTCATCTGGCAGGTGGTAGAAACCATCTGATGGTCCATAGATTACATCTTCCCCCAGAACTCACTAAGAGCCAATGAGGTGACAGTGATGATGCCAAACAAAGTCAGAACTTGAACTCAGAAGATTAAGAACAGGAAACCTACCCTGGAAACTGAATTTGATTTGAAGGGTTTTGTTTGAGCAGAAAAGAGATACAAACGAGGGCCAAAAATATCTTCTAATATCTTCTAATCGATGAGTAGATTCTTGAGAATATTCTTTTCTTTCACAGAGGTGACTCCAGATTTCTCTCCCATAGAAATGCTTAGACTCCTATTCTTCTCTGTTGAGAGTCATTTGCGGTGTCACTCCACAAATGCTACATCACGTCCAATGGCACGGCGTGCACCCTGAGTTGTAAGGTCACTTTACCTGAGCGATACCTCCCAGCTCCCACCACTTCCACCTGCACTGCCATCCTTACCCAGCACTGAGCATCCGAGAAACAGAAAGCTTGTGAAGTGAGTCAATAGTGGAGAATTTCTCCTACTGAGCATCTGAAGGAAAATTCTAGAAATTAACTGTTTTTAAAAAGAGCACGAATAAAATACTTATTCACTTGCAGCATCATTGGTGCTTCTAAGGAAAAGTATAGACAGGCCTGCCTATCATCTGCCTGTCAATCCAACCACATCATCTACCTATCATCCATCTACAGTGTATCCTCCCTGCCAGGAGCCTGCTCAGCCCTAGGATGTAGACCCTGAGAATTACTATGTATATTTGGGATACGTACAATGATTTCATTCTTTAAGCTTCTGCCTCTCCAGAGAAGAAAAGTCCACATTAATGTAACAGGCTACCTTTGCAAGGTGCTCATTCCGCTTGCAAAATAAATAAATGGATCTGCAGTGGTTTCTGCCACATATAAATGCCAGGCATTGCAGAACGCCCGGTGAATGACGTACATCACCATACTTGTTTCCATTTAAGCGTTTTTGTGATACGGCTGTTTATCATCTTGCTCAGGTGTCGAAAACATTCATCGGAGAAGAAAGGCTGCTACTGGGTGGGAAACCAAGATGCCTTTTCTTTGCCGTTCTACAATGCCTGCCATTCGTCAGGCCGGCGTGATTGTACAGTCCCCCGCCCCTTTCGAAAGGCGTTTCCCAGAAATGGCTGGCGGAGCTTGCCCACCATCATCTCCAAGGGGTGTGCAAAGGGCAACATCCTGAGGCATGCTCAAACAAAACGACGGTAGGGACGGAACACATTTTTTTCTCAGTCTTGTGAGTGGTCAAGACGGAAGGAGTATAAAGAGGTTCCCCACACGCGCCGTTCCCAGCAGCGGTTATAATAATTATAGTGCTACTTCTCAAAGGGGAATGATTTCATATTGCATCATCTCCCCTCCTTTTTTTTTTTGGCTGGTTTAGGTCTATTTCGCTCAGAGATTATTATCTCTAACTTGTAAAAGATGCATGTAATAGATGTCACCATGTTAAATTAGAGCATTTCATAAATGTCAGCTGAATGGCACAGCCATACAGTGCACGGTCTTATTGTAATTTGCTGCAAAATTAATACAGTGCTTATTAACAAGATGATGGTAGGACTTTATCAAAATGAAGGATCTCACAACGGCGTTTTAAAAATATTTCTAACATGAATAAATGAATTTTCCATGTCTGTAGTTAATGTTGTGTAGAAATATGCTTTTAGGAGAGTTAACTCTTTCGGTTTAACGATATTGGTTTTGTTTTATTTGGGTAAAACTGTCAGGTCGCTGTGAACTTACACAGTAGAATGGCTGCTCACTACAGAGTTAGTCTACTGGACCAGTGAAAATATAAATTCCAAACCTGGAGAGAGGAAGACGTCCATCTGAGATGATAAGGAAAATAAATGAATCAGGCTTTTAAAACGTACCTTGACACACTGGTTAGCTTGTGTGTGAGATAATGAGCTGAAAGCCTGGCATGTATTAAGTGCCCAGGGAGCCACAGGAATGCCTCGACATCACCCGACTCTTCATTTGACAGTTATATCGCTTTCGAGAAATGATGTGGACACCCGATGATATGCACACTGTTATTTCCTAAGTATTTATAATCAGACCTGGCATAATGCTCCCAAATCAAATGGGTATGTGCCTTTCTACCTCTGAGCAGTGGGCATAAACAGCCAGTTTAGCAACGGGCTGTGGAGCTGCCTTTACGGAAGCCCCAGGGTCCCGAACCTTAAGTTGCCCTCGGGCTTTGAATTTCTGCTCCACCCCATTAAGGTGGGGTGACCTAGGGGGAGCCACCTCATCCCCCTTGGATAACTGTTCAGTGTGAACCTTCCTATCAAGCTCAGACCCATTCTCCCCTTCTTTTCCAATTTACACCCCAGCACCTTTGTTCTTATCCTTTGTAGCTGGGCCTCTCCATCAGCTTACCAGCTGCAAGAGAAATGTCACTACTCATCTCTCCTGAAGTCTCTGAATGAGACCACATGACTTATGCCCAAATCTTCCAGTCTTTCTTTTTTATTTTAAATATGTTTTTATTGATTTCAGAAAGGAAGGGAGAGGGAGATAGAAACATCAATGATGAGAGAGAACCATTGATCAGCTGCCTCCTGCACACCTCCCACTGGGGATGGAGCCCGCAACCCAGGCATGAGCCCCTGACCGGAATCAAACCCAGGACCCCCGTCCACAGGCTGACACTCTATCCACTGAGCCAAACCAGCCAGGCCTTTAGGCTTTCTTTAAGCTATAAACTCCCCACCTTTCAGATCCTTCGCCACCCTAATGCTCACAGGCAATATCCATATATCACATGATTGAGGGGCAAGCTCCTCATAGGCTATAGAAACTTGCGCATTACATCTATTTGTACACGATAGTATTTGGGTAACACAAAAGGTAAGGCAATATATTTTCTGGAAAATTCACACGGTGACTTTTGGACACGTTGTAGTAATTAATGACAAAGACTTAGTTTTGAGCAGATGAAAAAGCATTGATGAACTGCCGGAGATAGGACATTATGCAGAGAAAGTGTATTCTGCCTCGTTTTCTAACTTGTTTTCTGGAAAATTATCACTGTGGCAGAACAATCAATTTCCATAAGTCGGGTCCTTATTCCTTATTATTCCATCTTCCATGGGTCAGACCGGGAAACGTTTCCTTCGTTGATGCCTTTCCATTTCACCTAATTCATTTCCAGTGCAGGCCTCCTGCCTTATTAATCTATTTTTTAATGTCTCCTAATCCTTTCTCTCGGTTCCGGCTCTGTTGCAGCAGTCTATTGATGTCTTATTGAGCACTGCAATCAACCATCCTTCTTTCTTTCATGTAATTACAACTATATATATATTTCCCGTTTTCAGCCAACTTTCAGATCCCCTCATTGTTTTTTCTTTCCATTTTTTTAAGAAAGTGGCTTAGATTAGATCCTCTAATTTAGTGAACAATTCAGCTATGATTTAACAGAGGCTCGATGGTGTGGAAAACTTAGAAAAGGTTTGATTTTAAGTTGGGATTCAGAGGACAGAACAGAGTGAGCCCACTTGGACCAGGTGTACACATGTGTGCATAAGGGACCGGCTCTCAACTACCCCTCCCTCCCCCCCGCCCACACACACGCAACCCAGCTTCTTTTACCCGCACATCTTTGATACACAGTGTTCCAGGAACTTCCATGTTAAAGAGTGGTCCATAGACCAGCAGCAAGGCATCACCTGAAAGCTCTTACAAATGGAGAATCTCCGTCCCTACTCCAGACTTGCACAATCAGAATCTGCCTTTTAAAAGACATCTGGCAGAGGATGACGTTACTTATTCTCTTGGTACCTCTATTTCTCCATCCACAAAATGGGGATAATTATGATACCTTCCTAGTAGGACTGTTTGGGGAACTCCATGGAATACTACATGGTAAGCCTTTGAGCTGTCTATAAGTATTATTGTTCAAAATGGTATTTTTTATACACTTGCCTATATTCTTCTGAATAAAGTATGTAGTGTGTAAGTCCTAACTCCCATGTTTGATGCCACAATCTCAGTAAAGAACCTCACCAATCTCTCAAAAGAAGAAAGATATCTGAGATATTCACATGCACATTCAGAGCTGGAGAAGCACCGCCTTCTGGCTGACTGCCTATGTCTTGAACTGCTGAGACTTAACCCTCATGGTTTCCTTGGCTAGATGTAGGACTACAGCAAAGTAAGAGAGGAAGAAGGTGGGGGAGGGGAGGGCGTGGAGAAAACCCCAAACAGGAAAGCACCCAAACAGCATTTCTTGAATGCCTTCCACAGAGTCAGGCCTCATGCAGTCTCCTCGCCTCACCAGCATCATCTGGCAGGTGGCCACAGCAGGTCCACCATGGGGAACCAGCTACCATATGAAGGGCAGGGTCAGTGAAGGGCCAGGCTGGAGCCGGACAGGGGACTCCCACCTTGGGTCAGAGCTGACTGGGATCTTCATCTATGGACTAGAGGAGTTCAAAGACCCTTCTCAGGGTTCCCTGGAACACTTTCCTAAGACGCCACCCAGGCCTGGGCTCTGTCTGGTTCTCGTGGATGTAAGTCACACCCGATTAGGAAAAGACTCAGGAAAGAGGTCAAATAACTCTCGCACCGAGTTCAAAGGAAATGAGAACAGAGCGCAGTGACATCCTGACAAACTCACATTATTAGGAATCTGTACTAACAGCCTAGGCTGTTCTTACGACAAATGGACTTATTTTCCCAGGGTTGTGAATTTTGATATTTTTTGGCTCATGTATACCTTTTGGGTCTGATGAAGGTACTAAAAGCCTTCCCCTCTAAGACACATAAATAAACAAACAAACAAATGGAAACACTCCTACATAACATACAGGTTAACCAAAGAACATATATGCTTAGCCCATGGACACAGACAATAGTGTAGTGAAGGCCTGGGGGGTGGGAGGGAAGGCTGGGTGGAGGAGGCATAGTGGGTGGGATGAGGGACATCTGTAATAGTGTCAACAGTAAAAAGCATTAAAGGTGTACACGGATGTCCTAAAACTCATCCATGGCAGCCCTAGGGATGAAGGACTCCTCAATAAAAATAATGACTCTTCTCCCTTTTCTACTCTCCTATTAATATAATATGATTACTGTGCTATGTGTCTTGACTTTGGTATTGGTATTTTTAGGTGGTGGTGACTCAGAGCATTACTTCATGCCCGTCTCAAGATCTTGGCATCCACAGGAGGAAAAATTACAGCACCTCTAATGGAAGAATAAGGCAGACACGCCGGATCTTATGAGATTGGATTGAGTGTCAAATGGCAACTGCCAAAGGGAAGCTCCCTTCCAGAACCCAGAGCGCACGACACGGTCGCCCGGGCCATTTGGGGCTGGCTGGGTTCCTGAGTTATTACAGCAAAATGAGACTTGAACAACTGCCTAATATTCCTGTATGCTCCCTAATATTATTAAGGATTGCGACTGAATGAATTTAGAAAATGTCCTTGAGTTCAATTTTACAGTTTAGAATTCTGACACCATTGGCAAATTTTTTTAGTATGGATTCTGTTGTCCCACTGAAAACAACAATAAATGTTTTTAGAAAATATTATTTAGGCAAGGTGGGCTTGACATGATATTTTCACCTGTCATAATAACTTTTTTGTATCATACAGACTTTGTGTCCATACTTGGAGAATGAGAGAATAACCATTAAGGTAAAATGTGAATGGACTTAGAGATGAACGTGGAGGCATTAAATTCATGAACAGCTCTGCCATTGTATCTGCATTTGGAATCCTGTATGTAGCTCTCTCTGGCTACATATCAGATTTCATGAAAGTTCTATTTATTTCTGCTATAAAAATGATCAAAAAAGCAATCAGAAATAGAAAAAGGTAAAAAAAAAGCTTCTAAAAGAAAAAATGTTAACACTTCCAAGTATGTCTTTTGTTTTCTGCATTTTTTTCCTTTTTTTCAATATATTTCATTGATTTTTACAGAGAGGAAGGAAGAGGGATAGAGAGTCAGAAACATCGATGAGAGAGAAACATTGATCAGCTGCCTCCTGCACACTCCCCACTGGGGATGTGCCCGCAACCAAGGTACATGCCCTTGACCGGAATCAAACCTGGGACCTTTCAGTCCGCAGGCCAACGCTCTATCCACTGAGCCAAACCGGTTAGGGCTGTTTTCTGCATTTTTAAACTAGGTTTTTGCACATGGAAAATATGGACATACAGAGGCATGTAATAAAAAAAAGCTCTCTCTCTTCTCTCCCTACCCCACTCCTGGGACCAAAGGACATGTTAAAATGTTATTATTTCCTTTCTCCTTACTGTTGAATAATATTCCATTGAGTGAATATGCTACATTTTATTTATCCACTCATCAATTGACACTGGGTTATTCAACATTTTGACTATTATAGATAAAGGAGTTATGAATGTTCACAAGTAAGATTGTGTGACAATTTATGTTTTCATTTTATTTGCATATATACCCAGAAGTGATAGTGCTGGGTCATATGGTAACTCTGTATTTAATATGTTGAGGAACGCCAGACTGTTTTCTGTCTGTAAAAGTGGATGTGCGTGTTACGTGCCCCCAGCAGTCTATGGGAACACCAATGACCTCCACAGACTCATTAATGCGTGTCATTATCTATCCTTTTAACAACAGCCATGCCAGTGAGTGTGAAGTGGTATCTCATTGCGGTTTTAATTTGCATTTCTCTGAAGACTAATAATGCTGGATATCTTTTCATGTGCTTATTGCCATTTGTGTATCTTCCTTGGAGAATTATCTATTTAGATCCTTTAGCCATTTTTAATTGCATTGCCTTTTTATTATTGAGTTGTAAAGGTTCTTTATATATGCTGGAGACAAGTCTCACTGGATATATGCTTTGCAAATATTTTATCCCATTCTTTAGGTTGAGGTAGGACATATTGACCCAGGTGAGTTAAAATCTGAGCTCATGTAGGTCAGAAAATAATTTTTGCGATATTGTAATAAAAGTGCATAAAATTGTAAAAATGCACTGTGCTGTTAAGATAGAGAGAAGCTTGGAATATAAAATTCACAAGCACAACTATCATAATGACCATTTGGACCTGGGTGTACATGACCTTTGTTAGACTGTCTTCTTTGGAATTGGGGAGGAAACTTGTTTTTGTTTTTGTTAACATCATTTATTAACATTAACTGTCCAATAATTCCCAGACATATACTCAATTTACTTTCCAGTTTACTCTGAATCCCCTAGTTTCCAATTTGTTTTGACATCTGTAAAAGTAAAAATAAAATGAGCCTTTCTTCTCTGCAAAGGACCTCCAGGCAGTCTGACAGTTCATGTCCGCATTCACAGTTGCACAGCAGCGCTCCTAAAGCGGCCATTTCATTTAGATACAAACACACACAGGACATCCTGAGAAATACAGTCCTAGATTCTATGAGAAGATGATGTCCCATATTAGCTTTTTATTGATTGCTTTTTAGAGGGAGAGGAAGGGAGAGAGGAACATTGACTTGCTGTTCCACTTACTGATGCACTCACTGGTTGACTCTTGTATGTGCCCGGACCAGGGACTGAACCTACAGCATTGGCATATCAGGACAATGCTCTATTCATTGAGCTACCCCAGCCAGGGCCAAATTAGCTTTTGAAAGGGAGCAATCCTTTACTTCCATACTGAGAACTCACCTGATCACACAGGAGGCTACCGTTTCGGGTGCCGGCTGCATCACACTCACAGGGCTGGCACCCATCCGTGGCTGAAGGATCCGCCCCAACTGGTCGGAAAAAGTGCTCCTTGCACAGCTCACAGTTCCGTCCTGCGGCAGGGAGAGGTGATGCGTTATGACTTCCAGTTCATTAAAATCAGCTGCATAATTCAGAATTAAAGACTGTATTCCTTGGAGGGAATTCTATAATTTTCGGGACGTCCATTTTAATGCACCTTTCATCTCTACCTGCCAATTTAGTGATCCGGAGCATATGAAACAATGAACCTGCTACAAACTGTGCTTTACTTCATTAAACTCCCATCTGCTATAAAATGCCACACCTCTAAAAAGCTGGCCTTTGGAAGGGCCCAGGCGTTTTGAAAGAGTTTCTTTCTAAACTTCAAACTTTTCTTTATTTCCAGGGCTAGGCACTTGACCTCAATCAAATATGAGAAATTTCTGTCTGTGTGGGAGAGGATAGCTGTCCAGTTAGAAGCAACTATGTACGGAGTATTAGAAATATTTTCCAGAACTAAATCTTGTCAAATAGGAGACTATTCTTACTATAATATCATTCATTATTCTATAGTTAACATAATTAAAAGCAAATGCTTCTATTAGAGCTTATGGCCATTATTTTCCATTGCAAATATCAATAGAAATCTATAAATATAAAAGGCTTATATGCAAAGTGTTCCCTTAGGAGTTCAACCGGGAGGTCGATTGCTCACTATGACGTTTGCTTACCACCAGGGGGCGGTGCGGAATGAAGGAAGGCCCTGGCCAGCCCCAATTGCAGGCCAAGGCTAGGGATCCTACCTGTGCAAGATTTTCGTGTACAGGGCCTCTAGTTTATTATATTTAGACATAGCAAACAAATTTCATTTTAAATATCAGAATAGTCTGACATTTTAGAAATATCAGGTAATTCCTATAGCTTACAATTTACTAATCAGAAGTTTCCCCTTATAAAAGAAAAACAAATCTAATCTACAGGTCAACTCTAAAGTAAATGTAAGTACAATACAGAACCACCAAAATAGAACTCAAGGCAATCAACTTCCCCTTTAAACATGTATTCTCCTTAAATATTGTCCAAATTGGCCCAATATTAGAAAACTAAGGAAATAATCAAGTGAAAATCCACATTCTGATGGACACTGGCTGTGGACTAATTAAACATTAAATGGTTTCATAGTATTTCTAGATTATTTCCATTTACATATGCTGATGACTCTCAAATTTCTATCTCCAATCTAGAAATATCTCCTGTATTTGCCATTTAATGAATATTCATTGGGTGATTCCCATGTGCCAAACTCTGTGCTGAGTGCTGAGGAAGGAGTAGTCATGAGCAAAACACACATCACACCTTCCTCACAGAGCTTTCCTGTAGCCATGAGGGTAAGAGGAGTCTTAACTGAATGATGACAGGAATGGACATACATGAACAAACAGCCCTACACATAAGGTGCCACTGAAGTGTGCTGATGATAGGGATCTTTTCTGAGGCACCACAGAGGGCGGTCCTTAGGGAAGCAGCTTCAGAACTGAGCCCCACTGCCCTCAACAGAATTCCTCTCGGAGACACGCAGTGAGCATGTCCAAATGAGAACTGCCACCCTCTCCCCAAGCCTGATCCACCTGTGTTTCCTGTCTCAATGGCTGACATCAATGTTGACCCTGTTGCTCACACTGGAATGTGAGGCAAGAGTCTTGACGCTCCTTCCTTCCCTAGGCCTTGCTTGGAAAGTGCTGCCACTTTCCTTCCTGAATTGTCTCCATCCACACCACCTCCATCCACTCCAGCATGCTCCTCACTGGGACAAACTGCAGCACCGGCTACCTGGTCTTCCCAAACCACACCTGATCCTGCCCAATCCACTCTCCACATTATGACCGCATAGGTCTTTTAAAAACACAAAACTTACCACGTTCCTTTCCTGTGTAAACCCCTTAAGGACACCTCATTGACCTTAGGATAGAAACCAAAATCTGTCATGATGTGTAGAGCCCTCTAAAATCTGGCCCCTGACTCCCTTCCTAGCGCCTCTTCTTACAATCAGCCATTTCCCATCTATCAGGTCTTCAAGGGTCTCCATGCTCCTCTCCTCTAGGACATTACATGACTGTTTTTCTATTAGAAACTTTGTTCGATCTCAACCCCCCTTCCTCTCATTCCTTCACCTGGACAACTCCTACTGAACTTCCCCTACCTTGGCACTCATTAGACCAGCAGTCGCCAACCGGTGGTCTGCAGACCACTGGTGGTCCGTGAGGTCCGAAAGGTTGGCGACTGCTGCATTAGACCACTTTGTAACTGTTCCTTCAATGGTGAGCCTTTCCCACTATGTACTAATACACACAAAGACAGGACATTCTTTATCTTGTTCATCTTTATATTCCCAGCGCCTAGCCAAGTTCTTGTGTGACATTTTAGGCCATCCATAATTATCTAATAAATTCATTACGACTTCAGAATAGCACTCTTTCAAGCCCATAAGACCAGTTACATTTTACAAAGTCAGAGATTGCCTACTTCTGCTTTTAATATACTAGCCCTTCAAAATGCTGAATGGTTTTAGAACAAGACTTTGATAATCACCTCTGCATTTAATTAGCATTTACAAAGAGCATTCCCAGGTTCCCAGAGTCCATGCCAAATCTAAATTCATGTAAACATCTCCACCTGAGAATTCATACATAGTTGGAGATCAGGGTCACACAAGAAAACTTATTTAAAGAAGATAAGTACATATTCAAACTAATCAGTCCTGAGTTATCCAAAATATATTCATACTTTAATCAAATGTGGTGGTGGGGTGGGGGGGGGGCTTTTCCTGAATAGATATAGTCAAAGATTAGATTACTATTTCTGAAAACTACTTCATAAGTTGCCATTATGAAGATCTGGTAAACCAGCTTTGGTTTTCAAACGTTAACAGCAGGAGAGCACTTTCTTAAACAAGAAAGCAATAACATAACTTAAAGTAACATGGGCCTCATAGGCCAACTCGGCCTTAGTGGGGACAGTCATTTGCTAGTTACCTGTGGTGTTGTGCTCACAATCATCACAGACTCCGCCGCCCCCTCTGTGGTGCTCGGACGGAAAGGGGTCCTCTGAGATGTCGTAGTGGCAGCTTCGGGAATGGCCGTGGCACTGACAGGGCTTACAACTGAAGGCGTGGACTTGGTCTCCTGGGCGGAAAGGCTTGTCGTTGTACAGAGGCAGGCAGCGATCGCACTAGGACCATAAAGTCACATCAGAACAGTAAGTACATATACAACTGAGATTGTTTTGTTTTTTATTTACATATCAGGCACTTTTACTAGACGGAATAAGCTAATATCAAAGAGTTAAAAGCCAGCAACTGTTACATTTTGAAAAATGCTTTATAAATCAGAGATGAGCCTGTGACAGGCATGGCAGTGTGAAGGCGGCCGTGCGGACTGAAATCATGCAAAGCGATCTTCATAACCAATGTGAAAAGTGGTGACTGTTCCGTGGCCGTTACATTTTTTGGGTCAGAACATTAAAAGCTTGACTTGCAGTGTCTGTTCCCACAGGTGAAGAGCCTAGAAGCCGCCAGTCCATCCTAGCAATTGAAACGTTAAACAGACAAAATGTCAACAACTGTTCTTGGATCCCTAAGGGGAGGGCACGGAACAAACAGCTCCTCTGAGACTGGAGAGGCGGACGGGCGAAGACAGACAGTCCCGGGGACAGGAGCAGACTCGCCAGTAGAAGCCACATTACCAAGGGCTGCTTACAACGGTTCCTTACCCACACATCATGTCCAGCTATCCATAAAAAAATAAAAAATCACGAGGCATACCAAAAGCAAAAATAATACAATAGGAAGAAACAGAGCCACCATCAAAATCCGGTATTGGGGGGATGAGGGGGATGTTGAAATTGTCAGACCAGGAATTTAAAATAACTATGATTAATATGCAAAGGGCTCTAATGGATGGAGCAGATAGCATGCAAGAACAGATGGACAATGGAAGTAGAGGTTTTAATTGTTCACAAAAGGAAGGCTAGCCTTTTTTAAAAATTTATTTCAGAGAGGAAGGGAGAGGGAGAGAGAGATGGAAACAACAGTGATGAGAGAAAAATCACTGGCTGGCTTCCTCCTGCACGCCCCCTAGTGGGGGTTGAGCCCAAAGCCTGGGCATGTGTCCTGACCAGGAACTGAACCATCATCTCTAGGTTCATACACCTCCATGCTCAACCATGGAGCCACACCAGCCGGGCCAGGCTAGCCTTTTTGAGTAACAACTGCTTGGTAGTGCCCAAACCACCCCATTAAGTCAGTGGCAAATTCCTCTTTGATTCTAGACCAGGGGTGGGCAAACTTTTTGACTCGAGAGCCACAATGGGTTCTTAAACTGGACCGGAGGGCCGGAACAAAAGCATGGATGGAGTGTTTGTGTGAATAATATAAATTCAAAGTAAACATCATTACATAAAAGGGTACGGTCTTTTTTTTTTTTTAGTTTTATTCATTTCAAACGGGCTGGATCCGGCCCACGGGCCATAGTTTGCCCACGGCTGTTCTAGACACTGAAGAAGTCGGGATTTTGTCTTTGGAACGTTGCTATAGTACTTAGTGCAGTCTGATTTACCATGACTTTCTGACAATGGCTTTTAGGTTCACAATCAGGATAAAGTCTTAAATGAGACTTTACTTTTTAGATCACGAGCATTAAAGCAAAAATAATACTGTCTTCATACAAACAGCACAGGGAAGCTTTTGCTGGATTTGCTCCACTAGCTCGGGTAGGCAGCGTCCCAGGCTCAGACAGCCAGCAGTTGCTCTGGAGAAGACAAACTGCATCTGTAATCAGGGTGACAGGACCGCAGCTTCCATGTCACCACTGCCACCCACTTTTATTCGAGAAAGTGCAACCTGAATAATAAAAACACCATCACAGGGTGAGCAAGGTCATGGGAAGAATACTTTGAAATGAAGGGAAAAAACGGGCCTTGGGCATCGTCTTGAAGCAAAATTTTGCATTTGGCCCAAGTTTGTGATGGGATGAATAGAGTTTTAAAAAATCAGGAGTGAGATTAATTGCGTGGCTAATTCACCCGGGAAAGAGAATTTAATGAGCTCATTTCTCTCCTCCAAAGCCAGGAAGTCAGAAAGTGAGTTTGCATCTCTTCTTCCATTTGTCCAATTGGAACAGGTCTCCCCACAGTTGGGACTTCCGAGCGATAATCAGACCCTAATGATATCTGATGGCTCCTGGGAAGGAAGTATGTGATAAGGCCACCTCTGCCGTTGTCGCTACAGATGACGAAAATTAACCAGAAATGAACGTGGATCATAAATTGCTCCTTGCTCCACTTTATGGGCTATGTCCTCTAAATCAAATCATGGACCTGTACAGTTACATCACAGAATCTGCTATGAATAGTTATAAATAATCTATTGCATGGGGGCAGTCTTGTAAACTGCTGGTGTCACTGGAACTGGAGACCAACACCTCTATTGGATTTTGACCCCTTTCTCCCTCCTCCTTTTCCCTCCCCAGTCTTGTAACTTCCGGATTTTGAATGCAGAATATGCTCCAGATTTTATGTTGGTCACTATTGAAATATTATGAGTAAAAAAATCATTAAGATATTGAATTAAGTGTTTTTATTTTAGAGGTGAAGAAACTGAGTTTCACAGAAGTGGACATAAGGACTCGCTGGTTAATGATGTTGACCATATTAATTACCCTCTTTATTCCCCAGTTGCTAATCTAATAATCAAGTAGTAGACAATGTTTACTGAGGGCTTACCATGTGACACTCTGCCAAATGCTTGGTCTTTACAACAACCCTGTGAGTCAGGTATTATTACCCCCATGTTATAAATGAGAAAAGTAAGATTTAATAGGACAGAATTTATTATATAAGAATGTAGGGATAGCATATCAAGGAAGATAAATTAGGATTGGGATACTATGACCCAAAGCCTAAGGGATTCAATAAAATAATCCATTTAAAATGCTCACTACAATGCCCAGCACATAGAAAATATACATTCCATGTTACTTTCCACAGATAGTGGCAGCACCAGTAATTGAACTAAGATGTCTGACTTTAAGCCCACACCTAATCTCTAACTTTTGATTATATAAAATAAATTTGATATACAAATGATGACTGGTGAGAGAAAGCTTAAAGAGGTCAATTCCTTCACTTAAAAATCTTTCTGGTCTAAGACCCAGAGTTGATACTATTCTAATGATTGCTCCATCTTCCTTTTAGAAATTGAGTTTCATTTTACATTTGAAAGTGCTTTATGCAAATCATAGAATAACAGCCAATTATGAAATCTTTACATAAACATTAATGTTTATTAATTATTCCCTTTGTACCCCCTCTTTACATTTCCTCAAGAATGATTTTTTTTGAATATTAATGACATCATGTGAATTTTCAGTTAACAGTATAGCAATTGTCTATTAAGCTCCTACCGTGTGGATGACACAGAAAGCATACAAGTCAATAACTTGCATTTTATGGAAGATACATGTAAGTAAATTAATTATTTCAGTACAAAGTGATAGGATCAAGGTCTAGGTATTAATAGAGTGTTATGTGCGAGTGGAGAAGAGGGGTACCTATCCCAGCCAAAGAGTTGATTAGCTGTGTGTTCCCAAAAGATCTATTTCTACTAAGTTTATCTAGTTTGTTGACATATAAGATTTTTTTTATAACAGTGAGAAAAAGAATACAAGTTACATGACCCACAGGGAATGGTTTGAAAATGCCATATCGTCAAATGAATATCATACAATCATATCTATATATGTAAAAGCCTAAGCAACCAAATGACCAGTCAACCAGTCACTATGACACACACTGACCACCAGGGGGCAGATGCTCAACACAGGAGCTACTCCCTGGTGGTCAGTGTGCTCCCACAGGGGGAGCACCACTCAGTGAGCTTCCTGAGCAGAGGCGGCAGCAGGCACAGTGGGGCCCGGATGAATGGGAGCGGTGCCTGGCCTGGGCTCGGGCTCTTCCCCCGGCCATCTGACACTTTGCACACTACTACATCCCTCGGGGGATGTTGGACTGCCGGTTTCAGCCCAACATCCACGGAGGGGTCCCGGATTGTGAGAGGGCACAGGCCAGCCCGAGGGACCCCATCAGAGCACAAATCTGTGCACCGGACCTCTAGTGTAAATATAAATGTAGAAAGATAGCCATAATGTAATTTGAATTTAAAAACCATGTTATATTGATATGTAGAGTATAATCCTGTTTTCCAGACAAAGGCAGATTCATCTATGGATATGGATACAGAGCTACAACTTTAAGAAGATAGAGACAGATGATACAGGTTTACTTAGAATAACAATAATAAAAGATCTAAAGGATATAAACTAAAGAGTATTTGCTGAGATTATCTATGGGTGGTGGAGTTACAGATGACTTTTACTTTTTATAACTTTATTTTTTCTGCAGTACGCATTTATTACTAATGTATTAAAAATTGAGGGCAAATGAAATGCAATTGCATGGACAGTTATGAGAAATCTATACATCATTTTCATCATGTGCATGTAGCATTTCCCTAAGAAAACTAAGAAAATTAAAACGTTTGTTTTAAATTATATACATATGTAGTAAGATACTACAGAGAAAATGGCTCTCTTTGGGGGCAAAATGTAGGAAGAGGGCTTATGAATTACCATTAAACAGAATATGATTTTTAAAAGATGAAACATTTTCTTATGTTTATATATACAAGCAAGGATTCTGAGGAATGACAGACTACATTTGTTATAAAATTTGACTTAAAACATATAGAATTAAATGACACAGTGCTTTTGATCTAAAGGATGATACTAGGTTATTATCATTTTGCGTAGTTTACAAAGACTATAAAAGAGAAGGAATACTTAGTAGTCTATTCTTTGATTATAAAATTAATGAAAGTTAGCATAATACTCTTTAGGTCCATCCATGCTGTCACAAATAAAATCAACCAATCAGAGAAAGACAAGTATCATATGATCTCACTTATATGTGAATCTAATGAACAAAATAAACTAACAAACAAAATACAAACAGAATCATAGACACAGAGCACAGACTGACAGTTGTCAGAGGGGAGGGGTTGGGGGGCTGGGTGAAAAAGGTGAAGGAATTAAGCCAAAAAAATGTTCATAGACACAGACAACAGTATGATGATTATAAGAGGGGAGGGGGGGGGACAGGTAGAGCGGGTAAAGCAG